TTTCTGACGACATTAAAGGAATGGGAGGGCTTAACTGTATTCTGGTCAGACTGGAAAGACAGGGCTGGTCAGCAGTGGAGGCCAGGTTACTCAGAGAGATAAGACGGCCCAGCCAGGTCGGACCTGAGAGAGAGGCTGATCTGTGCTGAGGCCGGTTACGTATGGTGAACTCACATCTCACACGAGTACAGGCAGAAGCCACTGCGTCTTATAAAAATACTATAAGAAATGTATGAGACAACCTGGGAAGTAGAAATATTAACTGGATACTCAATAACATTAAGTCATGGTTGCTAAATTTTCAACGTTGTAATAGTTTTCCATTGCTGCACAGCAATCACCACAAACTCTGTGTGGCTTAAAACCACACATTCCACATGCGTTTCTGTGGGTCAGAGGACCAGGCCTGGCTTAGCGGGTCCTCTGCAAGGCTGCAGTCACGTGTCAGGGTGAGCTGGGGTCTCGGTCTCATGTGAACACTCAGCTGAGGGGAAGCGCTGCTTCCAAGCTCACTCCGGGGTTGGTGGAATTCAGTTCCTTGCTATCGCAGGGCCTCATCTTCATGCTGGCTATCGACCAGGGCTGCCCTAAGCTTCCAAAGGCTACCTGCAGTTGCCTTGAGAGTTCCCCAGCGAGGGACCTCACTTCTTCAGAGCTAGCAAAGGGCTCAGCCCTCGCAGCCCTGACTTCGTCCCGAAGGTCATCAGGAAAGATGTCCGGACGGTCATCCTGCTATTTGGTCTAATTAGCATATCAGCTCTTTATTAAATAGGATAAGCATGTCCACATAATCACAGGTGCCCCATCATCTTTGTCATACTTCATTGGTTACAAGCACCTGAGGGGGCAGGAATCAGGGTCTGTGTTCCTTAGATATGTATTGGTTTTGAGGTTACTATTTTTTTAAGAGCCCTTATATTTTAGAACTAAATATTAAAATATTTGCAATGAAAACACTTACGATGTCTGAGTGAGATTTGCTTTGGAATAATCCAGGGGGCCTGGGAAGTGGGTTGAGATATAGTAATTGGCCAAGAGTTGAAAATTGTTGAATCTGGGAGGTTCATGGGAGCTCATATGAGGTTCTCTACTTCGGTGTGTGCTTGAAATTTTCATAATAAAATTTAAAAGATAGCTTGCATATTAGTTATCTGTTGCTGCAAGATTAATTAGTGACTTAAAACAACAAACATTTATTTTCTCAGATCCTGTGGGTCAGGGATCTGACACAGTTTAGCTGGGTGCCTCAGACACAGGGTCTCACAAGTCTGCCGTCCAGTTGTCAGCAGGACTGCGGGCATCTGAGGCCTGATGAGCTGGGGATCTGCTTCCAAGCTCATTCATGTGGCTGTTGGTCAGGTGCCTCAGATCCTTGCTCACTTTTGCCTTACACACCACGGTAGCCTGACTCCAAAACGCTTTCAATGACCCCCTTCCACTGTGCCGCTCCTTCCCACACTGCACCAGGGTTGGTCTGTGTGACCAATAGAACATTCGGAATGGTATGTCCCTGCTGAGATTAGTTATAAAAGACTACCTCTGTGCTGGCCGACTTCGGTGTGTGCCGTTTTCTCCTTCCTTCTCTCATCACTTGCTCTATGTAAGGCAAAAGTTGGGTGTTGTCAAAAGTATCCTTGAAAGTCCTTTAACCCATTAAGCATAGTGGACAGTTACACCAGTGTTCCTCCAGTGCTGGAATGCACCGCTGTTTTCTTGAGAGCTGGATAAAAGTGTGGTCTTGAACTAGGGATCATGGTTGTTCCAAAAGTAAAAGTTTCTTACCTTTATTTTTTCTTTTTAAAATAGTTTTTGTTTTTTCCTCTTTTTGTTTCATAAATAAATATATTTAAACACTATGATCACATTTGGCCCTACCTTGAGTGTATTAAGTTAATTTCAAGTCAATGAAGTGCAGTAGGAGGGCATTCTAATGCGCTGTGAAAGGGGAGAGCTGATCATACCTTGATGGCATCTGCCTTTTAGGTCCATTTTGCTGACTGCTTGTTTTAGCTCCATAGTCACCGAGCAGCTTTCTGATTACAATTTGGCTTCCCAAACAGAAATGCACATGGGGAGATAATGCTCTGCTCTAAAGCATCCTGTGGTTACATTTCTCAGTGTAAAATTAAGAATTGGTATTCTATAAAAAACAAAAACAAAACGCTAGCCAGTTTGGCTCAGTGGATAGAGCATTGCCCACAGACTGAAGTGTCCCGGGTTTGATTCAAGTCAAGGACATGTACCTTGGTTGCAGGACTTAGTCAGGGTGCGTGTGGGAGGCAACCAATCGATGTCCCTCTCTCACATCGATGTTTCTCTCTCTGTCTCTCCCTCTATCTCCCTCCCCCCCCCCCTAAAAATCAATGGGAAAATGTCCTCAGGTGAGGATTAACAACAACAAAAACAATTGGTATTCTAGCTCTACATATCAGTCTTTATGCGCTATGTCAGTGGTCGGCAAACTCATCAGTCAACAGAGCCAACTATTAACAGTACAACGATTGAAATTTCTTTTGAGAGCCAAATTTTTTTAAACTTAAACTTCTTCTAACGCCACGTCTTCAAAGTAGACTCGCCCAGGCCATGGTATTTTGTGGAAGAGCCACACTCAAGGGGCCAAAGAGCTGCATGTGGTTCCCCAGCTGCAGTTCGCAGACCACTGCGCTAGGTTAATGTGAATTTGCATGTAATGTGGTACGTTTACATTTTAGGCTTTTGAGCCTGCAGCCCTGAGTCCCCAGACTGTGATGAATGTACCCAACTAGTGCCATCAGAGTGGTCTGGAAGTCTTCTTACATTGTGGCAGCTATATTTACTGCACACAGGACATATGCATGAGCTCCCCACATTTCTCAGGTCCCCTGCTATCAAAGGGGGTTGTGTAACCAGTTTTGGTCGATAAGCTGTGAGTAGAATTGACACCTATCACTTCTGAACCAAAACCCAGTGCAATTTTCACACACTCTGTCCCACTGCTGCAGCGACCATGGAGGCCACATGTCGACATGCCAGAATGCACATCGGCCTGGGCCCCCTGCAGGACCAGAATGGACAGAACCCCCTCCTGACCTGTGCCAATTAAGCAAATAACATGAGTGCAAGTAAAAGATTATATTAAGCCATTGAGGTATTTCCTACATTTGTGTAACCCATTCGAACTCAGTATACCAAGGGATGCCAACGTTGCTGGGAGTGCGTTTTTTCAATCACTGGTAACGTTACACCTGAGTGCTGGGATCCATCTCCAATGATCTCTCTTCACTTACCGCTGTGCCCACTCTCAGTACGATTAGATAGGCAAGAGGCGGGCAGAGCAGAAGAGGCCAGGAGAAACCTAGCAGGACTAGAGATATTGAAGTGCCCCCATCCTGCCCAGCTCATATCAGCTCAGGATGCTAATCCTAGAGGCTCTATGCTCCTGCTAACTAAAGATGTAATTCCATTTCCTCTTTTCATCTGTTCGGTGTGCCTGTGCTTCCCCCACGCCCGCCCCAGCTTCCCTGGGGCCGCTTCGGGAGCACTGCTGCCACGGTGGCCACCCAGTCAGTCTTCAGCAGGTGGACCGAGTAAACACTAAACGTAACAGTTGCCCTGACTAAGTCTGACTCAGCTCTCCATTGCTAAATGGGAAAATTTTAAATCGCTTATAAAACTAAATATAGGGTTTGTAAATAGAGGGTGAAAAATCAACTCAGAAGCTTCAAATAGCAACTGTCATGCAAAAACAAGAGTTTAGAGTCATTTCAAGGACTTATTTCCCAAAAATAGCTAGTAAGAACTTAGCATACAGCCCAGCTGGTGCGGCTCAGTGGTTGAGCGTCAGCCTATGAACCAGGAGGTCATGGTTCGATTCCCGGTCAGGACACGTGCCCAGATTTCGGGCTTGATCCCCAGTAGAGGATGTGTAGGAGGCAACCAATCAATGATTCTCTCTCATCATTGATGGTCTGATCTCTCTGTCTCCTTTTGTCTCTGAAATCAGTAAAAATATAATTTCAAAAAAGAACTTGGTATACATTTAAGAGCTAAAATCCAGACCCTTTCAACTATGCATTTATATAAAAGTATGCAGAAAATTCAGTGCTGGGCTGGGCAGGCCCTCTAGTGATTCTCTCCCTTGGTGTCAGAACCAACCAATGAGTTGTGATGAGCTGTGCAGTGTGTGCTGGGTCATTGGTTACTCAGGAAGCTAAAGTACTGAAGCTAGTGAATTATTCTCTTCATTGCAAATTAGGGGAAACACAAGCTTACTTCTGTAATAAATTCACTCTCACGTGCCTTAGCAAAACAAATAAAAATAGAAGCATGGTGCCCTGACCTGGTGACTCAGTTGGTTGAAGCATCATCCTGTACACCTGGGTCAGGGCATAGAACCTAGGTTGCTAGTTAGTCTCCCAGTTGGAGCACATACATACATGAGGCAACCGATTGATGTTTCTCTCTCACATCAATAGTTTTCTCTTTTTCCTGTCCTCTCTCTCTAAAATTAACAACATATCCAGTGTGGCTTATTTGGGTGAGCATCATCTCATGCACCTAGAAGTTGCTGGTTCATTTCCTGATTAGGGCCCATGCCCAGGTTGTAGGTTCAATCTCCAGTGGCGGTGAGGGGGATGGGACTGTGCAGGAGGCATCCTATCAATGTTACCCCTCTCACCTCCATGTTTCCCCCTCTCCCTTCCTCTTTTTAAATTTCTTTTTTTTAAACCATATTTAGAAAATGAAAATAAAAGCCTATCCTATAATTAGGATTAACAAAAGGAAAAAAGAAAACATGGTTGCATTAAGGTAGGGGGAAAAAAGGACAGGAATTTCTAACTGATCAGCCAGCAGTTTTTGAGATGGCTGAGAACTGCCATCAGTGAGATCATCTTAATGATTTGAAAAAGTCCCCAACCCAAAGTCAATTAGAGGCACTCAATATTACAGATTTAACTGAATTTAAAGTTATGTTAAAAACCCATTTTATTAAGGTAAGAGAAGAATCCATTTTAAGTTGCCACTCTAAAACTATATATAAGATAAAGATATTACATTACTTTTAGTGTTAAATTTTATTACCACACTAATACATATACATTTTTTAAATTTCTGGGGTTTCTAGTTACTTACTTATATGCTCTTTTTTTGGTTATTGAACATGTGTGTTCCAATGAAGGAAATACTTCTTTATTACATACATTAACATTATTCCCGATCTTATTCTCCACAAATGAACTGTTTTCACCATCTTCATGACTCATCCTGCCCATATAGATTCCTATTCTCATAGACAGCATAACATTGCTAACATTTTATAATCTGTGATCTTCTTTCTTAGTATTGTATCATGAAATATTTTTCTGTATTTCCACATAGTTATTGGATCTTTTTAATGGCTGCAAAATATTCTATCACAATCACCCACATTTAAATGGTTTGATTTTAACCATTTGTTCCTCATTCTGTGATCAGTAGCCACAATCAAAGGTGACTACCTATTACGAGTTACTTATATTTCAAATACTCTCACAAGTAGAGCCCACGTTAACTCCCCATTAATATGTCTTCATTTTTCTATTTCTAACATGAGGATTAAGTAGACTACTATGCAAGCTTGCTAAGGCAGCCCCTTAATGTTTTTCTTCATGGACACGGTCACGGGGAGAGCAGCACCTGGGCACAGCGCCTCTAGGCTGTCAGCGTGCCCTCCAGGACAACTGCTGCACCACCCCGAATGTCAACCCGGCCGTCCGGGCGCAGGGAAATCGCCAGCTCTCCTCCTCGGGAGGAGCACTGAAAGGCTGGAGAGAACAAAACAAACCACAAGTTAAGGGGGTAATTTTCACCCTTTTTAATGAACAGCCAATAGTGAGACGCCTCTTATTACAAGTTCTAGAATCCTCCTAGGTCAGTTTAAAGATAAACTCTTTAAAAATTCTTTAAGGATAAAACCTGTCCATGGTACTGCCCAGCCCAACCGGTTCTCCTGAGGAGTGGGGGCCGCAAATGCACTTTCATCCACAAAACACACAGCTCCAGGCCTCCTCTTCCTGAGCTACTTCCTCCAGCACCTCCTGCAACGCCCACCCCACCCCCACTTCCTGCCTGGCTCTGTCTCGGGGTAAGCAAGGACATGTGAAAAGATAGATGCAGGTCTAGGAAGATAAAGATGTCTAGGAGGTCTTGGCCCTCCTGAGAAGGCCCGTCTTTCTCTTTCCAGGCCTGAATAAGACAAAGGGATCTCATTCATTCTTGTGGTTACGAAGCAACCACATGTGTCAGGCCGACAAGAGGCACCACCTAAGCCTTCCTGGAGCTCAGTGCTTAGGGGAGTAACTGGTCTCACCTATGAGCAGCCACCTGCTCTCCCCAAATCAGGCTCACGGAGGCCTAACCCTGCCACTGAGTAAGACCTCTAGAGTTGGACTCCTAATTTGGTTATGTAGTCTCCATTGTCTGAGGTCAATTTTCTCTGCCCCTCAGAAAATATATATTAATCACCAAGGGACTTGGTTCAAAAGCAATTTGTATGATTCAACCCTGTGGCTAGTAATAGCAGTAAGGAACCTTACTGATTATCCAGTCTCCATCTGCACATCATAGATAACTTCTCTGGGCCAGAGCTACACAGCAGGTTAATTTTACTCAACAAATGTTTATTGGGCACTTACTGTACGAGAAGTGTGTCTATATGTTGGGAGAAATGGGTAGAATGTGTTTGGGGTACGGGATATTTAGAGTAGAGAGGTTAGGGTGAAGGAATTTAAAAACCTTTCATTTTCATGTTGGTGATACAAAACATGTCTTCAAGTACATTTTAGATTTGAGAAGGAATATTTGTTTAAGATTAGGCTTTTTTTTGTAATTGAAAAAGAACTGTCTTACCACGCATCTCTTTCTTCCCCAGTTCTTGGGACCAGTAGCTGCTGAGAACGGTGTGGGCAGACCCTTAAAAGAAATGGGAAGTTATGATACAGCATAAGGGAAACAGAGGCAACTTTGGGGTAAATTTATAAGTTGGTCATTATTTGGCTTGGCCACAGCAGAGTGTGGCATTATGAATGGAGCTGGAGAGGAAGACACAGGATGTATGGATAAGCTCCTTCAAATGATACATTTGCAATGTTTTACACTTTCTGAAAGCTGGATTAAACTGCAGGTTTTCATTCTTGTCCTGTCTACAGGTCACGGGCAGCCCATGGTAGGAAAATCCAGTCCCTCTCTTAAATCTACCTCCTTCAAGAGAGACCATCCGCTTGCTCCTGGGATGCACATGCAAGGAAAGGTGGAACTCTGACAAAACCCAAAATCTCCATCAAGCACACATTCCCAGATTTTGGTGGCCAAAGATCTGTCCTTCAGTGAGGTATTTTTTAAGATAATTGTGCCCAAGGTTCAGATCAGAGAGTGGATAGTGAAATGAAGGAATAAGCTGTGAAGTAATAACTGGCAGAAAAGGCTGAGGGGCAGAAAAGGCTGGGATGGAAAGGGCCCCTCCTTCAGGAAAACTTACTAAATGTTATGGGAGGTCCACATGGCATGACCAACTCTCCCAATTCCCTGAGACTGTCCTGGTTTTAGCACCGAAGGCCCTGTATGATGAAAAATCCCTCAGTTTTAAGCAAACTGAGATGGTTGGTCATCACTGTGCAAGACCTTTCTGCTGTAGAAAAGCATCGTTTCAGGGAAAAAACTTGCCCTCTGTGCCAACTAAAATCTTTGTAAAGCAGCTGTGCAGATCCACTCAGAACTTCTATTCCATGGGGAAAGGGTTGAGTTGGCCTGTTTGGATGTCATTTGGGCATTTTCCTGACATCCAAAAAGTGCTTGCTTACTGAGCTTTGAATTTCACATGTTTTGTTCCTCAGAGAGTAACTAAGTCATCCCAGCCGCTGCCATCTGACCAGACAGTCTGCCCAGCCTCCTTCTGCCCTGGCCACCATCCCATGTGCCAGCCTCCTCATTGCCCTCTTTTGCTGCTCAGCCCACTCTTTGCACTGTGGTAAGTACTTAACTGGCATTGGATTTGCATAACCCTATGGCAGTGGTCGGCAAACTCATTAGTCAACAGAGCCAAATATCAGCAGTACAACGATTGAAATTTCTTTTGAGAGCCAAATTTTTTAAACTTAAACTTCTTCTAACGCCACTTCTTCAAAATAGACTCGCCCAGGCCGTGGTATTTTGTGGAAAAGCCACACTCAGGGAGCCAAAGAGTCGCTTGCCAACCACAGCCCTATGAAATATTCTCTGTATTTTATAGAGGAGGGAATGGAAACTTTTAAAAGCTTAAGCCCTGGCAGGTGTGGCTCAGTTGGTTGGGCATCGTTTCATGCACGGAAAGGTTGCTGGTTCAATTCCTGGTCAGGGCACATGCTCGGGTTGCAGGTTCAATTGCCGTGTGGGGTGTGTAGGAGGCAGCTGATCAATGTTTCACTATCGCATTGATGTTTCTTTCTCTCTCTTTCCCTCTCCCTTCCACCCTCTCTAAAAATCAATCAAAAATCTTTTTTAAAAAACAAGTTAAGCCATTTGCCCAAGGTCAACAGCTAGAAAGCTAGGATGCAAACCAAGGCTGTCTAACACTAAGGTTTAACTCTGCTATACTGCTTCCTTTTTATGGAGGAGAGAGGAATGGTGAGAATATTTTCCCATTGATTTTTAGAGGGTGGAAAAGAGGGAGGGGGAAGGAGGGAACATCAATATGAGAGAGACACATCAATTGGTTGCCTCCTGCACCTTCCCCAACCAGAGCCAGGGATCGAACCTGCAACCCAGGTACGTGCCCTTGACTGGAAATGAAACCCAAGACCTTTAGGTGTGCAGGCTGCACTCTAGCCACTGAGCAACACTGGCCAGGGCTATATTACTTCCTTAATTCTGCGTTTTTTTGTTTTGTTTTTTGTTTGTTTGTTTGTTTGTTTTAAATAAATCTTTATTGTTCATATTATTGCAAATGTTCCTCTCCCCCCCCCCCTCCATTGCTCTCCTCCACCAGGTTCCCACCCCACCCTCTGCCCTTTCCCCACCCCCCATTGTCCTCATCCATAGGTGCACAGTTTATGTTCAGTCTCTTCCCACATCCCCCTCTCCCCTTTTCCCCAAGAATAAACAGTTCACTCCCCTTCCATACCTCTGATTCTATTATATTCAACAGTTAATATTGTTCATCAGATTTTTTTTTAATTCCCTTGGTTTTTAGATTCGCTTGTTGATAGTTACGTATTTGTTGTTCATAATTTTTATCTTTATTTACTTTCTCTTCCAAAAGAACCCCCTTCAGCAATTCATATAATTCTGGTTTGGCGGTGATGAACTCCTTTAGCTTTTTTTTATTAGTGAAGCTCTTTATCTGGCCTTCGATTCTGAGTGATAGCTTTGCTGGGTAGATTATTTTTGGCTGTAGGTTCTTACTATTCATCACCTTGAATATTTCTTGCCATTCCCATCTGGCCTGCATGGTTTCTGTTGAGAAATCAGCTGACAATCTTATAGGTACTCCTTTATATTGAATAGGTAACTACCTGCTTTGCTCTTGCTGCTTTTAATATTCTCTTTGTCTTTTGCTCTTGGAATTTTAATTATGATTTGTCTTGGTGTGGTCTTCTTTGGATTCCTTTTGTTTGGAGTTCTGTGCGCTTCCTGGACTTGTAAGTCTAATTCTTTCACCAGGTGGGGGAAGTTTTCTGTCACTATTTCTTTCAGTATGTTTTCGATATTTTGCTCTCTCTCATCTTCTGGGACCCCCATAATTCTGATGTTGGTTCGCTTGAAGTTGTCCCAGAGGTTTCTTTTTTTTCTTTTTTTTTCTTTTTTTGTCCCAGAGGTTTCTTACATTATCTTCAACTTTCTGGATTCTTGCCTTCTTGCTTCTGCGGAGGAGTGTCTCTGGCTCTTTATGTTCCAAACCTTTGACTTGATTCTTGTGATCTTCCATTCTGTTTTTAGGACTCTGTATAATATTTTTTATTTCAGACAATGTATTCTTTATTTCTTGTTGATTCCTTATATTTCTTGTTGATTCCTTATTAATTCTAGTTGATCCCTTTTCATGTCCTCATAGGTTTTATGGGCCTTTTCTAGGAAATTCTTGAAAAACCTTATAAGCGTAGATTTGAACTCTATATCCAGTCGCTTTTTGTCCTCCCTTTCTTTCATTTGTGATCTATTTCCTTGTCTGGGCATTTTCGCAGCTTCCCTGATGGGGCAGGGTTTCAGGGTGGAGCCTGCAGCCTTGGCTTCCATCAGCCCCACCCTTCAGTACTCGTTGCAAGCACTTCTGAGAGAAAGGTGCCCTCGATTTTCGCCTGCTACCAAACAGTCTAGGCTCTCTCCCAATGATCCCGGAACTGGGGTTCAGTTCAGTTGGAAGTGGAGTTGGAGGTGGCGTTCAGAGCAGTCCGGAGCTTTTGTCTCCTTCCCACCAGGGCAGTCCCGAGGCACAGTCAACCGTCCCTTCTCTGCACGCAATGTGCATGCCTCCGGGACCTCCTTTCGCCGCTCCCCTGGGATTCTGCCTCACAGCCCCGGCTCCCTCTGTTTGAGCCTGGGTTCCCGGGGTCTGGCCTAGAACTGGGGTTCAGCGCTGTTGGGTCTGGGGTTCAGCACAGTTGGAGCTTTTATCTCCTTCCCGCTAGGGAATGCCAGCCAGGCACTCAGCCGCCCCTCCTCTGGCTCCATCCTCTCCACGCGCACAGCATGTCTCCGTACCTTAGGCTTTTCCAGCTCCTCCGCACTTCCTTCTGATTTTCTCCTTGCTTCTTGTTGTAGAATTTCCAGTCAGTCGACTTTCCTGTAGTTCTGGGTAATGTCCATTTTATATTTTAGTTGTATTTTATTGAAATTGTTGTGTGCGGCTGCGGTTAGGTGTTTACCTGTACAGCCATCTTGGATTCTCCTAATTCTGCATTTTTATGTAAAGGGATGGGGGGGGGGGGGTAAGAAAACAAAGACAGCTCAAAACCCACGCCATCTGAAAGGTCACATGAAGGACAACGCTTAAACAGCTCTTTGTTACCCACCCACTTCAGTGTTTAACCCTCCCCAGGACCCACGTCAGAAAGTACCTGTCACAGGGTCTTCTGCCACACCAACCCAGGGTGCGAAATATCTGGAATAAAAGTCGAATGCTTGGGTCTGCCCACCAGGCTCTCCTTTGAGGGTGAGAATGAGTCCTCTCACCTTCCCTGTGTTCTCTATTTGCAGCAGATCCTGTGTGCTCACTTTCAGGTTCTCCAGAAATGACCTGGTTCATAAATGGGATGGATTAGGACAAACCCCATTCCACATACATACACACACACACACACACACCCCACCACCACCACATAGACTCCATAAAGCAGGGCAGGGTGTGGCTGACCCACATGCATCAGCAGGAGCAGGAGGGAGGAGCAAGTGGAATACCTTCCTACCTGAGCACAAAGCTCTCTGGCTGCAGAAATCATGGTTTGCCTGGACAGAGCACAGCCAGACCAAGCCAGGGCTGTAAATGGGGGTGCTTGGCCCTCTCCAAAGAGGTGACGAAGCCAAAAATCTCGCTCACCTGTCATAAGCGTCACTGAGCCGGACCAGGAGCTTCCGGGTGTCTGGGGAGTAGCGGATGTCCTGGATCATTGTGTCGCCTATGGCAGTCTGTGAAGACAGACCAAAGACTTTTCAGGAATGTGCCCTGGGCCAAGTCCTTGTGGGAAATGACCTTTCTGAACATCGCCAGAGTGCCAGGCCCACCCGTGGTCCCCAATCCCCAAGTTTTAGTGAGGTTTCTGGGCGTAAGGTGTTGCCCAAGGAAAAGCTCAGTTTCCTGGTGATTAAAGAGGCCGTGAAAGGAATTGAGCTTACCCTTTTCGAGCCAAAGAGACATTATTCCCGAGTGTTAATATGTGTCTGAACACACAACTCCTTCAAATGGGTATTTCCCCCCAGATCGGAAGAAAGACCAAGAGAGGCCCAGGGTCACACACACATAATTTTGTTCATTTCCAACTAGAGGCCTTCCTTCCCCTGGCTGCCAGCACGGCTTCCCTCCCGCACCCGGGACCCGGGCTTCCCTCGCAGCCCAGCTTCGTCCGGAAGGACATCTGGTCTAATTTGCATATTATGCTTTTATTATCTATATACTGTATATAAAACCCTTATATGCAAATAGCTAATCAGTGTCCCTCTCTCTGGAAACAAATCCCAGTCCCAGATCCCTCCGGCTCTCCAGGACCTTCCAGCCTCTAAAGTAGGGGTGTCGAACTCAATCAGAGAGGGGGCCAAAATCTAAAATCCAGCCTAAATCGCGGGCCGAATGGTTTACTGAACAGTCATAAACTGTCATTGTGATGGAAACGCAGCGGAGTGCAGTGATGACAGCGCGGTGCGGGCCACATTGCAAGGCCTGGCGGGACGGATTTGGCCCGCGGGCCTTGTGTTTGACACATGTGCTCTAAAGGGTCATCCAGCCCTTCTCTGTATGGGTTCTATGTGGTTAGAAAGGTTAATTCTCAGCTGGGAATCTTCTTGCCAGTTTCTAGGAACACAAAATGACAACCGTGATAAGATAAATAACCCTTCAGTCATTCCCATTTTGCAAATGTTGACCCTGAGGCTTAGAGAGATCAGGTTAAGTTTTTGTTTTGTTTTTTTACCATGAACAAGGTCGAAAGAACTCTGAATATTTTCCATTCCTGCCATCATGCTTTAAATAGTTGTCCCCACCCTGCCATGGAGGCTAATGTTGACAATGAAGAGTCAGGGAAAACTGGTCAATCTTCTCACCAGATAGATTCAGTATTACAGTTCAGACCTCAATGCACTGCTTGTTGTTCATCCCAGCTTAAATTGGAACACTGATACCGGTAGCAGGCCTGTCTTTGGGGATCAAATGGTACCAAATCTTTGTGTTCAAATACTAACAAGTGTTCAAATAACATGAGCTCAGGCTTGATTCTTGTCACTAACCTTTATCAAGTCCTTTACTTCATGGACGTCCTAGATGGGGAAAAAGACAAAACCATTATAAAACAGTCACTCTGTCTGTACACAATTTACCAATTCAAAAGGGCTGACCTGGTAATGGGCTGGGTAAAGAGGCAAGTCCAGGACGATACCATCCTCCACTTTCCTGGCCTTTAGTTCCCCACTCAGTGTGACAAAGGTTAGAGTGCTATTCACATTTTCTGGCAAAAATAAAATTAAAAAAAGGGAAAAAAAGAGTCTTATTTTGTTGATCATAAAACTGTTTGAAAAGGAATCATGAAATGGGAAAATAAACTTATATATATATATCCAACAACAGAATGGTGCAATGACCAGAACAACTAGTAGGCCAGTCACTATGATGCACACTGACCACCAGGGGCATACGCTCAACACAGGAGCTGTCCCCTGGTGGTCAGTGCGCTTCCACAGTGGGAGTGCCGCTCGCTGACCGGATGAGTGGCGCTCCCACAGTGGGCCAATTCTGCAGGCCATACCCTCCACCAGTGCACGAATCCGGACACCGGGCCTCTAGTGTGCTTATTAGTCTGTTTCAGACACCATTGTGTTGTCTCAGATTCTCTTGCAGTGCTGCCCACAACTGGTTTGCTGGGTCGACAGTGGGGTCCCTCACTAGATTCTAATTTGAGAACCAGGAACATGATTGATTAGACTTGGCATCATACTTCAAGGCTTCACATCCCAGCTCCTTACGCTTCCTAGCTATACCCTTAAGCAAATTACTTAACCTGCTTAAACTTCAATTTCTACATCAACAAAGTGAGGTAATAGTTCAATCTATATCAATTTTAATTTACCAATAAAATAGGGTAATAATTAAGCCTGACTCATAGAAATGCTATGTTTTCTATTAAATTAATATATTTATACAATTAGTTTAGACTTATAAGCTCTACTAATCAGTTTATAGATGACAAATAGAACATACAAGTTATGAACAACAATCTAATAGGAACAAACTAGCTTTGTTTTAAATAAACCAAGCTAGACATAACATTTTGATTTAAAGATTAGACTATAAATGCTGATATCATAGCCCTCCCTCCGTGTTTCTGATACAACTTGAGCCACCTATCTGACTTCAATGTGCATAACATTCTTGGTGAAAACAGAGATTTGGGACATAATTGTTTTTCCCACCCTAATATTCCTGTAAAACCACTTTGCAGTTCAACTTCTCCCTCTGTTTAATCCTTTCTTTACTCCCCTATCAATATTGATCCCAAGACTGCTGCCCGCAGTTCCTCTAGCTTGCAGATGTGTCCCGGAATGTGCCCTGCACCTGGGGGAAGCTGCCCTCTAACCCCTCCCCTTCCCGTCCCCATCTAAAGCAGTTCTCCGAAGAGCTCCTTTCTAACTCCCCGCTTCTTACAGTGGGCCTGCCATGTCATCCTGTTTACTTCTGCATGTTGTCTAAACATGTTCATAGCTGCTTCCTACTCTGATTTAGGGCATTGCCAGGCATCTCTCTTCTGCCCTGTTCCCATAAAGCCCTCACCTTTACCTGTTGTATATGCAGCTTAGATGGAAATTGGTAGGATTAAGGATTAGGTGCTGCACCCTACTATTCTCACAAGCAGTAGTGGTAAGTAGTTGGCTGCATGGATCTTCAAAACTCAGAGCAGCCCTAGCCAGTCTGGCTCAGTAGATAGAGTGTCGGCTTGTGGACTGAGGGGTCCCAGGTTCAATTCTGGTCAAGGACTGCGGGCTCTATTCCCAGCAGGGGGCGTGCAGGAAGCAGCCAATCAAGGATTCTCTCTCACCATTGATGTTTCTCCCTCTCTCTTCCTCTCTGAAATCAATAAAAATATAAAATACATAAATAAATATAATTCAGAGTAAATAAGCTCTTGTTTCAGTGCGGGTGGGGACATATTGAGGGCAAAGTGTGCCTTTTGGGTCCCTGATATCACGTATGGCACCTGTTCTGCCTGTAAGCGCTCCTCCACAGAGACCAAAGACTCCAGGTTTACAGTAAACAGCATCCAGGGAGCAACGCCGTGGCTTTCCAACGTGTCTGGCACATCCTCAGAAAGGCCAGCGTTATTACAGGTTGCTGTTTTTTATTCTGGATAATGTTTTACATGAAATAAACTCTGCAACGTCCCATTCCAGTGTTCATCACAAAGAGTATGAGAATTAAAAAAAAAAAAAAAAAAAAAAGCTACTTGCTAAGTGGTCGGTTCATTTTTTAAATCACATTACTTATTTTGTGAAACAGCACAGCTGCAGAAGCCAGGGTAGCGTGACCACAGAGAGGGACCTCACTCGCCGGTGTGAACCACCTTAATCCGAAGCAGGAACCTTCGGGGAAAGATAAGCCAGAGAGAGACAAGATCAGTCCCGTACAAGTGAGTTGCAAACTTTTCCTTTACTTATTCTCTTCAGAATTTTTCGTCAGCGTGAATTAATTGCTGAAACGTGTTGTGAGGAGTAAACTCTAAGCATACATCCCAGGGCTCCTCGGTGCTAGGTTAGGGGCTGAAATGTTCAAATCAACCAACCCCACCCGCCCAGATGAACTGAGAACCAAATCAAAATCTCCCCCTCGCTCTACTCTCTGCATGCAAATAGCAAATGGGCGTTGCCCTTAAATTATCACCCTCCCCCTGGAAAAGCAGCTTCTACCATTCAAGAACGGTTTTTTAGAATGCTTATTTAGCCGAAACCGGTTTGGCTCAATGGATAGAGTGTCGGCTTGGGGACTGAACGGTCCCGCGGGGGTTCGATTTCGGTTGAGGGCATGTACCTTGGTTGTAAGCACATCCCCAGTAAGGGGGTGTGTAAGAGGCAGCTGATTGATGATTCTCTCTCATCAATGTTTCTAACTCTCTATCCCTCTCTCTTCCTCTCTGTGAAAGATCAATAAAATATATTTTAAAAATATATATATATATATATATATTTAAAAAAAAAAAAAAGAATGCTTATTTAAGATGACAGGAGACGATTGGACTTTGGGTGGTGGGCACGTGGTCCAATATACAGATCTGTGACATAGAAGCCCACACCTCAAGCCTGTATGTCCCTGTTGGCCAATGTCACCCCAATCAATTTAACAATATTTTATTTTATTTATTTATTTTTTTAATATATTTTATTGATTTTGTACAGAGAGGAAGGGAGAGAGAGAGAGAGTTAGAAACATTGATGAGAGAGAGTCATCAATCAGCTGCCCCTTGCACACCCCCTACTGGGGATATGCCCGCAACCAAGGTACATGCCCTTGACCGGAATCGAACCCGGGACCTTTCAGTCCCCAAGCCGACGCTCTATCCATTGAGCCAAACCGGTCCCGGCCAATTTAACAATATTTTAAAAGACAAGAGACAAAAAGCTTACTGACTTTGTGTGAAGCTGTCAGTTGGGTGCAGTTTTCGGATAAAGGCGGTTTCTGAGAGGTTCATTTCCCTGGCAATTTTTTGATGCATGTCTTCATCCAGTTTCTAAGTTAGAAACAAAAGGTTATTTGAGACTCCAGAAACGCAAATCAGACTTCCTTGGTTCAGTCCTTGGACAGCGACTGCTATCAGTTAATAACATCGTTTATTAATGTTAAAACTCACATGCTTAACAGGAAATAATTGCCAAGGAACTCAGACACGTTGATAAAGACTGGCACCATATGAAGAAGGGCTGTAGGTGTATGCGAAGCTGGAACGGACTCTGAAAAACCTACTGGCCTGGCCTGTCCTTTGTGAGATTATGACGCTGTCTATCTGAGAGCATGTGCTCTCTTCTACAACAATCTCCGCCAACGGGAGCTTCGCAGACTCCCTTTCTTGTCAGGTAAAGAAGAGTGGCGCACACAGTGCCCAGGCCAGGCCTCTCTGCCCCATTTATGCACCGTTCACTCCCTTTCATGGGCCAGGCTTCAGGCCGAGGTCACTTCCTGCAGGGTGCCTTCCCCACTGCTCTGTCCAAAACCACTGCCTCCTTCAGTGTGGCTCAGTGGTTGTGCATCAACCTATGAACCAAGAGGTCACTGTTCGATTCCCAGTCAGGGCACATGTCTGGGTTGTAGGCTTGATCCCCAGTAGGTGTTATGAGGAGGCAGCCCATCAATGATTCTCACTATTGATGTCTCTCTCTCTCTCTCTCTCTCTCTCTCTCTCTCTCTCTCTCTCTCTCCCCCCTTTCTCTCTGAAATAAATAAAAAATATATATATATTTAAAAAAAAAACAAAAAACCACTGCCTCCTCCCAGTGCCTAGGCCACCTGACACTCCCTAGTGCAATGGTTGGTAAACTGTGGCTCGTGAGCCACATGTGGCTCTTTGGCCCGTTGAGTGTGGCTCTTCCACAAAATACCACATGCGGGCATACGTACAGTGCGATTAAAACTTCGTGGCCCATGCGCAGAAGTTGATTTTCAGCTCTCAAAAGAAATCTCCATCGTTGTACTATTGATATTTGGCTCTGTTGACTAATGAGTTTGGTGACCACTGCCCAGTGTGTCCTTTACTGTGGGTCCCCCCACCTCTGACTGGGAGCTCTGAGAGGGCACGGACGGGGCTAGCTTGCGTAGACCTGGCTTAGAACAGTGCTTTGTATTCATCCCAGGATGAGAGGGGCTCAATAAACATTTGCTGAAAGGACAATTACATTATTCACTTAATATTCACTTTTAAAACCCTCCATACAGATACTTTACCCACTTACAGATTAAGAAATTAAACACAGGGGTTGTAGAATATCCTAAGATCGTGATATGTTAATAAATGGTAAATGATTATGAATGTGGGCTTTGCAATGAATCTAGAGGAAAGGTACTATATGGTTGTTCATTGTACCATTCTTGAAACTTTTTTGTAGGTTTTTAATTTTTCAAAATAGAATGTTAAAAATAGCCCTAGCCGGTTTGGCTCAATGGATAGAGCGTAGTCTGTGGACTGAAGGGTCCTGGATTCAGTTCTGGTCTGTGGCATGTACCTCAGTTGCAGACTCCTCCCCAGCCCAGGGCCTGGTCAGGGCAAGTGCAGGAGGCAACCGATCCATGTGTTTCTCTCACATCAATATTTCTCTGTCTTTTCCTCTCTCTTCCCCTCTCTCTAAAAAGCAATGGGAAAATATCACTAGGTGAAGATTAAAAGAATAAATAAAATAAAATAAAATAAAATATAAATAATGTGGGCTTTGGAAACAGATAGATTTGGATTTATATCTGGATCAGCCCTCATAGCAGTGCAAAATGGGCAAGTCATTTGCTCTCATAGGGCCTCAGTTTTCTCACCTTTAAAATGGGAGTAATAGCCGAAACCGGTTTGGCTCAGTGGTAGAGCGTCGATCTGCAGACTGAAGGGTCCCGGGTTCGATTCCGGTCAAGGGCATGTACATTGGTTGTGGGCACATCCCCAGTAGGGGATGTACAAGAGGCACCTGGTCGATGTTTCTCTCTCATCAACATTTCTGGCTCTCTATCTCTCTCCCTTCCTCCTCTCTGTAAAATATCAATAAAATATATTTTAAAAAAATAAAATAAAATAAAATAAAAAATAAAAAAATAAAATAAAATGGGAGTAATAGTTCTTTAGTGAAGTTTCATGCATACTCATATGTATTTACAAACACACACATTCCTCTTAAGAAAAAATGGGTCAGAAATATGAGTTTTCCGGCAATGGTAAAATAACGTACACAGATAATTTAATTAAAAGATTAAATTTAAAAAAAGAAGAAAAAAAAGAAATGAGTTTTCCTTTTGAAAATAAAAATAAAATTTTAATCAACATAATGCTTACTAGCTATAGTTTGAATTCCAAAGACAAATGAATTTATGCTTTAACTAAACCCAGAAATAAGAATTATTACTTTATTCTAATAAGTTCATAAGTTTATAATTCACTTATCTGAGTTATGCAAGTTAAGCACATTTGGTTTTTTAGTTGTTTTAAATTCTTTCAAAATACTTTCCATACACTCATATAAGGCAAAAAACAGTAGTTATTGTGAAAAAATTAGTCATGGTTTTTAAACTATCAGCTGATATAAAAATCCTAGCAAGAGGTTTACTTAAAGGAGCACTATACTCAAAAATCTATAGAATCTCTGTAGTACTATAGAAAGAAAAATCACGTAAGAAATTTGTAACGGCCCTAGCTGGTTTGGCTCAGAATAGAGAGTCATCCTGTGGACGAAAGGCCCTTCTTTTGTTTCCATCACTTTTTCCTGAGCCTACACAGCCGAGTCAGCTAACTTCTTTTTTTTTGTAATTTTTTTTTTTTTATCAATCTTTATTGTTCATATTATTACAAAGGTTCCTCATTTCTTCCCCCCTCCACCAGGTTCCCACCCCACCCTCCGCCCCCTCCCCACCCCCATTGTCCTCATCCATAGGTGCACAGTGTATGTTCAGTCTCTTCCTCCCTCCCTTTCCCCCGAGGACAGTCAGTCCACTCCCCTCCCATGTCGCCACCGAGTCGGCTAACTTCTACTAAATTTTCTAAATAAACTTATAATTGGGGGGAAGAGAATTGAATTCAAGCACTTGCCATGGCCTACAGAATGTTCTCTGTGGAAACTGGCTCACATGGCTGTGCATACAACACCTGAGAGAAACGAAGCTGTTTGGTTCCCTGGTGCAGAGCCTGCAGTCCCGGGGCTCACAGTGAATGGCAGGTGACAAAGGAAAGCCGGTGCCCGTCTTCTGGGTGTGCCTCCTGGGCTGCAGGACCCGTGGTGCCTGCCTGCTGTCCTTCCTCTCTCTGATCTGGTCGAACTCTCCCTATCTTTATATCTTCATTTCTTTATCTATTGCTTCTTGAGACAAGACCCTCTGCAAGCATTAAAGCATCCCACATTGTAGCCAAGCTCACCATCTTTTGGCAATAAATTCCTTGCAAATGGGCTGTTCTGCACATCAGCTAGAATACATGCTTTACTTTAACCCTCTCTACCATATGACACCAAATGCAATTTGAACTTCTGTAACAAATTTCTATGCCAGGATACCTGTTATTTGCCTGAGGGACAGACATAATGTAGAAAATTTGGTAACAGCAGCTCTCAGTATACACCATATATAGCTGAATTTCTGCAGTGGAACCAAAGGTCAACATGATGGTGAATCCTGAGAAGGCTCATACTGGTTCAACTTTGAGAACTTTAGAAACAAAAGAACTTTAGAAACTTTAGAAACACTCATTTAAAATATTGAATTTTTGGTCAAATAATTTTTCCATTTTACACTACAACCTTATTTTCAAATGCAGCACATAATAATTGCAAACCAATAACTTTTTTTAAAATATATTTTTATTGATTTCTTTACAGAGAGGAAGAGAGAGGGATAGAGAGTTAGAAACATCAATGAGAGAGAATCATCGATCAGCTGCCTCTTGCACACCCCCTACTGGGATGTGCCCGCAACCAAGGTACATGCCCTTGACTGGAATCGAACCCAGGACCTTTCAGTCCTCTGAGCCAAACCGGTTTTGGCACAAACCAACAACTTTTAATTCTCTTGTTTTAATAACCATTTCCCTTTGGCAATGTCACATGAGACACATTTCCAACATAACAACCATGATTTTTTATTTTTACTTATTTTTTTAGTTCCAGTGTACTGCATTGGGGCACTGAGGTTCCATCATCATTAGGCCCACATAAAAGTTAATAATCAGAAAATGAGTAAAGTTTTAAAATACTCCCATCTTGTGGCAGTTCAGAAATATGACAGCCCACATATAACTTGCTCTCAGTCTTTATTTTGTCCCTCTGCTGCAGATGGATTCCAGCAAAGAAAAAACTACAGTTGGATGTAGAAAGTTCTAAATCATCCAGGAAGAAATGAGAGATTCCTTTTGAGGCACTGGGACTTCTTATTGTGAAGTTATGTCCACACAATGCGGTACTCAAGCTGTAGGCCATGTTGGTAGTTCTATGGATGCCTCATCTCTCCAGCTGCAAATTGAACCCAAAGCTCATTCTCACTTCCCATACCCCCTATCCTGCCCCACCTAGGAGAAAGTAAGACCAATGGCAGATGGTTAACCAGAACTCTTCTGAGAGTTTGCCATAATTTAATTGATTATATTTTTAATTTCACTCAACAGATATTTATGTAGTGCCTTCCATGTGCTAGGCCGGGTGTCCTGAAACAACTCAGAATGGATCTAAGATCGTGATCAGGCTTACATTAGACTTTGAGCACCTCTGGGGCAAACTTTGTACCTCCCAGCCCTAGCCCAGAGCCTGGCTCCTGGCAGGTATTGATAAATATTTGTAGAATATGTCAGTGACATGCTAAACACCTGAACTGTGGTCAGCATTATAAGGTTTAGCCCTGTTTGTCAGTGACATTTTTCTGAGTTCATTTGTGTTTCAGGTGGTCTCTGTCTCCAGCCCTGGATAAGGAATCCAAGGGCAGAAAACAGCTTACACTTTCTTTATAATTTGTATTGATTATGAATTGGGGAAAGTGTTAAATTAGCATTCAGGAGAACAGGATTCTCACGTCCATAGAATAGAAAAGCTAGCAAACTGGTCTTCAGATATCTGTCTTTTCAGTTGTCTTTGACAGGGCAACAAATTAGCCTCGTCTCACAGGTCCAAGGCCCAGAAGTGAATCGGGAGACAAAAGAATGTCCTGTCATAGACTTCCTCATCTTTTTCTTTCTTCCATTTGTACTGAAGCATTTTGCTTTGAATTATGTTGAGTTCTTTGTTAAAATTTTATTTCCTAGTTTTTCCAAATACATAAATAACTTGTAAAATATATCTTAATGGGGAGGTAGATAGAGAGATAGAGTTAGGTAGGTAGGCAGAGAGAGAGATCCTTAAGCCTGTTGCTTAATGAGTACACTGGAGATTTTTTAAAAAATGAGGAATAATCCTGATCCTTGTCATCTAGTGAAAACTGAGTATATAAATCACTTAAAACTATTTTCAAAACTCTTCAAGGAAACATGGGACATGGCCAAATATACTGAGATTCTTGACAGGCAGCTTTAGTCAATTTCACAATTCCTCAAGGTGGAGTTGTATTTGAAGATTGTTTCTCTTTTTGAAAAATATATTTTTGTTGATTTCAAAGAGGAAGGAAGAGGGAGAGAGAGAGAAACATCAATGATGAGAATTATCAATCGGCTACCTCCTGCATGCCCCCCATTGGGGAGTGAGCCTGCAACTGAGGCATGTGCCCTGGCTGGGAATCAAACCACGACCTCCTATACTCAACCACTGAGCCACACCAGCTGGGCTGCCAGATTATTTCTAAAGAAAGTTCATTACTTAGAATCTGGTTGTTAATTATTCTCTTGCTAATCCTCTCAAACTTACTGGATAAAGCCTGTTAATTTTATTACTTTCTTTCAGCATTGTGTGGTTGGCCAGTGCCAACTGCAAGGTTGCGTAATGAATGCATGATAAAGTGAGTGGAGGACTCTTGAACTCTTTTTTTTTGTTTTTAATATATTTTATTGATTTTGTACAGAGAAGAAGGGAGAGAGATAGTTAGAAACATCAATGAGAGAGAGTCATCGATCAACTGCCTCTTGCACACCCCCTACTGGGGATATGCCCGCAACCAAGGTACATGCCCTTGACCGGAATCGAACCCGGGACCTTGAACCCGGGACCTTTCAGTCCCCAAGCCGATGCTCTATCCGTTGAGCCAAACCGGTTTCGGCAGGACTCTTGAACTCTTGATCACCATTTTGCTGCTCCGCTTGGGAAAGAAAATAAGCACACCAAGGACTCAACGGTCCTCACCGATCTCAGGGAAACCTGGGCCTCTCGCCATCTTGCCTGCACACTGCACGCTGGACCCACACACGGAGATGAACAAACAGGGCGGCCGGGGCCGCATCCCAGAGAGTCCGTTGTCACTGGTTTGGGATGAGGCCTGAGCTTAGTTAAAGCTCCTCTGTGATTCTGACGTGCGGGCCAATTGGGATTCACTGCACACCAATGCCCCAGCACGCATTTTGCCCAACTTAGTAACTTACTAAAGATCATGAATTGCTTACAGTGTTTCTGAACTAATTCTCACATATACATACATACTCTGGCACTAACTGCTCTGCATGGAAAGGTATCTTGGCTTGCTTCCTAATAATAACCAGGGACCAGTACAAAGCACTTAAGGTCTGGGAACATTTAATTAAGCTGTTAATGCTTATCCTAATCAGAAAGCCATTTTAAAAATGAGACTTTCCATAAACTAAGTTCTCCCTATTTTAGAACTTAATTCCTTCTATCTTTCTACTTAACTCCTTGCAAAACATCTTATTTCTTCATCCTTAGAAAAATCTCTAATTACATGGACTATAGGTAAGATTAAAAATATGCAGTTTGGAGCTTTCATGCTAAATGTAATATCAGCCACGTCTAATCACATAAAACTCAACTAACTTTATTCTCCTCCACATTTGGTGCTAACTAAATGAAACCCTGAGGGCTAAAGGGAGTTCCAGTCCTTCCCTACATGAGTCCTCATTTCTCTAGAATTAAACATGTCGGCGTAAGCTTTCTCACCTCAATCAATTTGCAGACATGAACGTTGCTGCTATCATTTGGCACACAAAAAACACAGAGGTAAACAGGTAGGCCTGATTTTTTTTTTTAAGGCATATTTAGTTCTCAGGGAATCTAGATTTCCAAGCACTGTCTTTCCAAACGAATACTTACATTTTCTAGGAGACAAACAGCAGCAGGATTTCCACGAAATGCTTGTGCTGTGAACGCATCTGCTATGAAAATAGGGAGCTTCATTTTCCTTGCAAGCCGTCTCTGCAGGCTCTCACAACCGCTGGTAATCTTGTTGTTGGGGAAAAAAGTCAGAAAGTTAATGTTTCACTTGGTGTACAGAGGCAACTCCCAGATACAAAGTCAAGCAATTACTCCAACACACTCACATTTAAAGACAGGTGACCCCTAATTTTTTAAGCCTCTGAAATGAATAGAATATTTTCTTTTCAAATTGTGTATTAATGTTTCATACTGCACATATGGTTAACAACATCATCATAGTCTTTCTTAAAGTAGCCAAAACTAGCTTAGGCTATGTTTTTGATGAAGAGAACGAAACATTCCAAGGGGCACATATGTGCTTAAAGTCACCCAATGAATGTTACTACCCTTTAAAAGAATGTATTTTTTCTAATTATAAAAATATGCTCATTATAAAATAAAAATAAAAAAACTTAGCAAATTAAAGTGACCCATAACCATATAACAACATTTCTTTTTACTTTTGGACTTAATATCAAAGAAGCCTAATGCTTTAATTAATTTTGTGTTATTTTATTAAATCTGCAGATGGAGACTTTTGTGAGCTCATGATACAGATTAGTTAAAGCTTTTCATTAAAAGAATAATACTTCCTTTTTACTTCAAATCTGCCAAATACAGAAAAAACAGAGGGGAGGAGAAAAGAATCCCCTGTACTCCGCTGCCTAGAGAGAAACTCTACTAATATTCTGGGTGTTCCCTTTGCTTTACTAGAAACATGGACTTCGTCATAGTAATGGAGGGACCCCTCCCTCCCAAAGTTATGGTACTTTTTGAAGATTCAGCAAATTAGACGGTGCTTGGTTATATCTAAAAGAAAATGACCCACCTAACACGAACTTCTTGCTTTCCAGGAGAACAGAAACGGCTGGGAAGCCCTGCTGGCTGCCCACTCCAGCCCCAGCCCCCTTGGCAGCTCTCAGACCCACAGGTATTTCTATTTCTGTATCTTTATTTTTTGAGAATATCCTATAGAGTTTATTTGAATCAGACTGACAACAAACTGAGCCCCTTTGTTAACTTTAATAAGTTTGTACCTTTTTTTAATATATTTTTTATTGATTTTTTTACAGAGAGGAAGAGAGAGGGATAGAGTTAGAAACATCACTGAGAGAGAATCATCGATCAGCTGCCCCTTGCACACCCCCTACTGGGGATGTGCCCGCAACGAAAGTACATGCCCTTGACTGGAATCGAACCCGGGACCTTTCAGTCCACAGACCGATGCTCTATCCACTGAGCCAAACTTCAGCAAGTTTGTACCTTTTGACCCCAAGCAATAACATTACTAATATTTAAGACATTGCATTTAATCAGAATTTTTACCCTCTTAATAGTTCATAGCATAAGTATTTTTCAAGTTGTAATAGATTCCTAAGAGTGAAATCCTTGGGTGTGGAGGGTATATAGACATCTTAACTTACACAGTTAAATTTATCTTCAGAAAGACACTACCATTTTATTTGTATATGTATCCTTCTGTTTTTTTATGTATACTTACAAATGCGTGCTTACTATAAATATACAGTATATTATGTATATTCATATATAATAACTAGTTAATGCAAAAAAGCAATAAATGAAAGAATAAAGGAACAATAAAGATGTAAGACATATAGAAACCAATAGCAAAATGACAAGCTTTTACCCTACCTGATCAGTAATTACATTAAGTGTAACTCTCATTCCTCTTTATTACTCAGTATAAGTTAAATTCTAATTCCAGTTTTTACAACATATCCTATAGCAAGTTTGCTTCCAGAAATGTAAAAGCAAAATATATGTTGATGAATACCAGATCTATGTTAATTAGCACATATTAATTTCCTCCTAGACATATCCACTTGGATTGTACATGGAATCTCTAAATCACACATGTCAAACACAAGGCCCGCGGGCCAAATCCGGCCCGCCAGGCCTTGCAATGTGGCCCGCACCACGCTGTCATCACTGCACTCCGCTGCATTCCATCACAATGACGCGCGAGAGGTGACATAGGAGGCTTGTGATCTCGCTGGCCGCCTTGCCGGCAGCTGTACTTGCTATCTATTACACATGCGCATAGATAACAAGTCACGAGAGATTCAGGAGGCGTGACCTATAGTCCGGCATCTGATGTGGTTGTGCGGGTGGCAGAGCAGAGGAGAGAGTGAGTGTGCGGGCATAAAAAATACACAGCAGAAGATGCCAGTTCCTGGCATAAAGTGCAGGCATAAAAATCGCAACAGAATCTGCTATCTGTACCCAGCCAGGCATTTATTGACTGACTTTTTTTTTCTCCACTCCATCTGCCAAATCAAGCTATCCCTGTGCAGTTTTCAACTTTTTCCTTCTAACGCAGATTTCCAATAAACTACATCTTTTACTGCCAATATTGATCCCAAAATGTCCAGGAAAAGAAAAGTTGACGGTGAAGGCAGACAATTTAATGACAAATGGGAAAATGAATACATGTTTGTGCTTAGAGAGGGCAAACCAGTGTGTATATTGTGTTATGAGACAGTGTCGGTGATGAAACGTCGTCATTTTGACATTTTGACACCAAACATAATGTTAAGTATGGCAAATATACTTTGGAAGAAAAGCATAAAATTGTTAAAGAACTAAAAGGCAAACTACAATCACAGCAGCAAATGTTTACAAAGGCTACAGCGAAAAATGATGCTACAGTGAAAGCAAGCTTTATAGTGGCTGAAGAAATTGCCTGTACTTCAAGGTGTTTTTCAGAGGGTGCCTTTTTGAAGCAATGCATGCTAAAAGTGTGTGAGCAAGTATGCCCAGACCAGATACAGAGTTTTCAAAATGTCAGTTTGTCAAGAAACACCATTGTAGATAGAGTTCAAGAACTCTCAGGAAATCTATCATCACAGCTGGCCGAACAGGCATGCAGTTATCTCGCTTTTTCACTTGCTATCGATGAAAGCACAGACAACACTGATACAGCGCAGCTGTCCATCTTTATATTGTACGTGCTACGAAGACCGACCTCTCTGTCACTGAGGAACTTTTGGATGTAGCTGCCATGCATGGGACGACGACTGGTAGAGATATATTTGAGGCTGTGGAGAAATCTATAAATAATTTTAAATTACCCTGGGAAAAGTTGGTGGGGCTAACTACCGATGGCGCACCTTCAATGTGCGGAGAAAAGAAAGGCTTGGTTGGACTAATGAAGGAAAGAATGCAAAAAAGTCACTGCCACACACCCTTGATTACTTATCATTGCATTATCCACCAAGAGGCTATGTGTGGAAAAGTTCTGGACATGAATGACATAATGACCACAGTCATTAAAACTATTAACTTTATATGGGCACGTGGCCTGAATCATCGCCAGTTCCAGCAGTTTTTACAGGAGGTGGGTGCAGAGCATGGAGACGTGCCATACCACACAGAAGTAAGATGGCTGAGCAAGAGTGCAGTCCTCAAAAGATTTTTTGAGCTCAGAGAACAAATTGCTCTTTTCATGGAAAGTAAAGGAAAGCCCTTGCCTGAACTGTCGGATCCCGCCTGGCTATGTGATTTTGCTATGATGTGTGACATATGCGAGCATCTCGCCCAACTGAATCTGAAGCTGCAGGGACGCAAACAAGTCATCACAAAGATGTCTGACATGATCACAGCATTCCAGCGTAAACTTCAACTATGGAAGTCCCAACTGGAACAGGACAATCTTGCCCACTTTCCCGTTTGTTTGAGTATCTCAGCCACTATTTCTGGTACTTTTCCTTGCAGTCGGCTGGCTACCAAAGTTAGCCGTTTACTAAGTGAATTTGAGCGGCGCTTCTCTGACTTTAGAACACAGCACTCAGGCTTTGACATCTTTGCCAATCCTTTTACAGTTGATGTCAACAATGTGCCCCATCACCTTCAGATGGAGATAATTGAGCTTCAGTCTGACAGTGGCCTGAAATCAAGGTTTCAGGATGTTGAAATTGAGGACTTCTACCCTCTACTGCCTCCTGACTCAATGCCAGAGCTCCGACTTCATGCTGCCCGTATTCTATCCATGTTCGGGAGCACCTATCTTTGTGAACAGATGTTTTCAATAATGAATCTGAACAAAAACAAGCACAGATCACGCATTACCGATGACAACCTCCATGCTGTTTTGCGGGTTGCTACAGCCCAAGAAATAAAACCGAACATTGACTCATTGATCCGGGGAAAACGGTGTCAGACATCTAGCCAGAAAACAAAACAATGAGCATTTTAGGTACATTCCAATATTACTGTTTTGCTTGATACCAATATTACTGTTTTGCTTGATAGCATGTGAGTTGGTTAACAGCACTGTTAAGGAAAAGATTGTTCCACTCATTTTAAATTCACATTTCTGGTTAACATTGTCAGTTTATGACTGCTCAGTAAACCATTCGGCCCGTGATTTAGGCTGGATTTTAGATTTTGGCCCCTTCTCTGATTGAGTTCGACACCCCTGGGATAGAGCGTCGGCCTGTGGACTGAAGGGTCCCGGGTTTGATTCCGGTCAAGGGCATGTACCTTTGTTGCAGGCACATCCCCGGTGGGGAGCGTGCAAGAGGCAGCTGATGGATGTTTCTCTCTCATCGATGTTTCTAACTATCTCTCTCCCTTCTTCTCTGTAAAAAATCAATAAAATATATTAAAAAAAAAAAAAAAAAAGCCAGAGATCTTGTTCCCTGGCATATATCATCGGTTTGATTTAAATAAAATCATAAAAATTCTCTATAGCTTTGAATCTTTCTTACATCAACATTTACTTTGTGTAGTTGACAGGATTCCAAAGCCCACCCAGGCCCACGCTGCAGAGCTGGATCCAGTGCCAGGTACAAGGAAGGGCTTGTTTAATAGGAATGAACCGCTTTTATTAATAATGGTGTGACAAACACACATGAAACAGGATGGGACTGGAATTTTTATTATTTCAACTACTTATCACTACCCTGTATAACAACCTAACAACCCATTTTAGAGGCTCAGCTCGGCTGGTGTGGCTCAGTGGTTGAGCATTAGCCAAGAGGTCAGTTTGATTCTTGGTCAAAGCACATGCCCATGTTGCAGGCTGCATCCTCAACAGGGGGCGTGCAGGAAGCAGCAGACTGATGAGGTCTCTCATTGGTATTTCTATCCCTCTCCCATTCTCTCTCTCTAAAAATCAATAAATAAATTTTTAAAAAGAAGCTGAGATTCCAAAAAGTTAACTGCCTCAGAACCTAACAACTGGTAAATAAGTGTCAAAACTGGGGTTGGAGCCTAGGCCTGTTTGACTCTTTGATTATGAAGACAGTTTTAAATTTTGCCATTGATTTTCTTTTTTTTCTTTTTGTAAATATATTTTTTATTGATTTTTTTACAGAGAGGAAGGGAGATAGTTAGAAACATCGATGAGAGAGAAACATCGATCAGCTGCCTCCTGCATACCCCCTAATGGGGATGTGCCTGCAACCAAGGTACATGCTCTTAAACAGAATCAAACCTATTGTAGAACCTTTCAGTCCGCAGGCCATTGAGCCAAACCGGTTTTGGCTGCCATTGATTTTCTTGGTAATCTTTGGAGCTTTATCTCCTGATTTTTCTATTTCTTGGTCCATAATAACTAGACTAGATGGTGGTGAAAATGAATTACTTAAAGTGCATTCACCCTCAACATAACAATCATTGGCATAAGTACATATATAATGAAAGCTATATTCTTATCTACCAGTCAGAGGCATAGGTACATATGTAATGAAACCTGTATTTTTATCTACTTGTCAGAAGCTTAAAATCATGTGAGTGGGAGGGCAGGAAATGGTGTGCTATTCTTTTATCTGTGCTGCTTTCTAAGTTATTATTGTGCTTATGATACAATAAAAGCAATACAACAATTTGATTTCAAATCCTTAAGTAGCTATAATTTGTAACTGTTTTCCTATTCTAAACATCAGTCCACTGGAACAAAAAGAATGTCCAATAATTTAAAAAAATATATATTTCATTGATTTTTTTACAGAGAGGAAGGGAGAGAGCTAGAAACATCGATGAGAGAGAAACATCGACCAGCTGCCTTTTGCACACCCTCCACCGGGGATGTGCCCGCAACCAAGGTACATGCCCTTGACCGGAATCGAACCCAGGATTTTTCAGTCTGCAGACCGACACTCTACCACTGAGCCAAACCGGTTTCGGCAGAATGTTCAATAATTTTAATTATTTTCAAAAATTAGTGTGTTAGGTGCTTTTTTTCTTTTAAATTTCCATTGCTTACTTAGTGCATAATTATTAAAATTGGGTGATACCTTTGAATTTTCCTATTCCCAGATGAACACTTATATGACTTAAAGAAACAAAAAAGTATTAAGAATGTTAACAGTTAATTAAGCCTTGTCCTGAGAAGTAATTTGGAATCATGACAAGGAAGATCACTTCTTTCTAAAGATGGAAGGTATATATAATATAAATCCAAGAATAAGTATTTCACAAAACATTAGTAAGACAGATTTAGTGTTCAAAAGGCATTAACTGCCTTAATTAGTCACACTTCTAAACACTTAGTTTTGCTGTTTAACATATGCCTTTCATATAGGCAAAAAGATTATGATGATCACTTTTATATCAATTTAGAATGTCATTGGAGAAATATGTGAACAACTATCTTAACCAATTTCCAATTTTTAGTTAATATGCCTTCCTCCCCAGAAGTGCAATCTCTGGATTTCTGTATCTTTCTCTTTCTCTTGGGCTCTGCATGGAATTTTCCTCTCCTCTCCTCTGGATGGTGTAATACATGGTCACATGTTCATTGTCTTGTTTTTCCCTGGGTGGTGTAGGTACTTCCATTTCCTTCTCCCTTTTCATCTTTTCTCTCCTTATGGCCTCTAACAAGATCCTCTCCAGGGTCCCTCTGATCTTTATGCTAATAGGAAAGCACTGAAATGATTGAAAGGAAGACAAATAGAGGGGGGGAAATCCCCAAAGCAGCTGGAAGCCCTTATTTCTAACCATCTCTATGGAAACAATTCCACGAATATCCAGCTGGAAACAATTCCGTAGGGATCATTGGAGCAGTGGGTACCACGCCATACTTGCAGGATTCAACTTGCAAATGGAAATAGTTGATAGCCTTTTATTTTTATTTTTATTTTTTTTAGAAAAATAGTAAAGTAGGAAGTTAAATAAAATTAGGTGTACCCCATATATAGCGTGCTTTTTTAAAAGCTCAAAACTTCCTTCTTGCTATAATGATAAAAAGCAAAAGGAAAATATGTACTAGCTTCAAGTTCTTCCTAAGCACTCACACTGGCAAACAGCAGAGTGAACACTACAAAGAAATTATGTCCAAAGAAAACATCAAGGTGTGGTGATAAAAAATTATTACAATGCTTTTAGGGTTGTGGCCTAACTATATAAATTAAGTATGCGGAAAGAATGCCAAACTCAACCAGGCAGTAAGTAGATTGTTCCAATTCAGGCAAGGGATGAAATGGATTACAGAATTCCATCTACATGTACCAAATCAGGTGGAAAGACTGAAAGAATATAGTAGGGATGTGACTTGAAACTAGGAAAGAACTCCATCTGAAGTGTGAAATCTTGGAGTCTTGACTAATAAGCAGTTATTTTAAAAAGAAGAGGGTGAGGTACTCATAGTGTCAGTGACACCAGAACATCAAGTTTCAGCCCTATTTAAAAGTCTCCAGCCAATTAATGGTTAACTGCAGGTCTCCTCTTCTGGTTAAGTCCATGTTTTTTTAGGGAAGTAACTTCCATTCGCCTGAAATGATGACCCTGCCCTTGGAGTAAAACCACCTGGGTTCAGATCCTAGCTTCTGTCACTGCCTGTGTGATCCTGGGCAATCTTTTCCCCTTTTCTAAACTAAGGCACCTCATCTGTAAATTGGGGATAATAATACTAATTATTACCTTTCAGGGTTGTAAAGAGTCAGTGAATTGAGCACAGCACCTAGCTCAAGCAAGTTCTTGATACATGTGAGCTACTGTTCTCCTGGTTTTGTTTTCCTGTCTCTTGTAATGATGACCAGACAGTACCTCCCCCCTTTCTCTGGGGGCATTTTGAGGGAGTGGACTCAAGAAAGGCACTACAGAGAGAGGCCGCGAATTCTGTTTGGAAGTGTCTGTGAGCTCGCTTGGACACCATGAGCAAAGCTCACCCTCCCGAGTTAAAGAAATTTATGGACAAGAAGTTATCATACATGTCCAAGGAATATTACGGGGATTTGATCCCTTTATGAATCTTGTGATAGATGAATGTGTGGAGATGGCAACGGGTGGGCAACAGAACAATATTGGAATGGTGGTAATCCGAGGAAATAGTATCATCATGTTAGAAGCCTTGGAACGAGTATGAAGAATGGCTGTAGTTACCAGAGAAATCAATTGCTTCCACATGTCCCCTCTCCACAGCACCCGTTTTCCTACAATATAGAGTCCTGTCCATTTTCACATTGAACTTTTGTTAAATAAACTTTTGTATTGATGAAAAAAAAAGAAAAAAAAAGAAAGGCACTACAGCACTATGGCTTAGTCAATTCTACTGCCCCACATGAAATGAGACATGAAGAATATACATCTCAGGTAAAAACTGCTGTTTGAATTTTAAGCCTGCTGAGGCAATTTTCCTGTGCCTGGGACCATAACCTTTGGAGTTCTGCTCCTGCAGGATAGGGCCACATTCCAATGTCCAGCAGGGTGTGACTGGGAATGACCCCAGTTTTTAGAATATAGTCTTTAGGATTTAGAATTTAGAACAAAGGAAAATTCCTGTGGTTTGAACTGTTGCAGAGTTCCCGAGTGGTCGGATGGTGTAGGGGGAGAGTTTGGAAAGACTTGCTTGGTTCATCGCACGCGGGAGGATGAATTCAAATTCTAAGCGAGGTTACAGACAGAACTTCCTTTTTTTTATTTTTTATTAAAGAGCCAGCCCTATGTGCACTTAGTGGTTATCTCGATGCTGGCCTTGAACACAATACAGTTCTATCCAATTGAAAAAGTGCACCTGGCATGGTATTGAGGTTGTGGTCATATCTGGTCTCTGGCCTACAAGGTCAGACAGCTAAGTTTATCTTCATCATTCTTCAAACGGGCTAAAGCAAACTAGAAAGCATCATTTTATCTAGGAAAAACAGCAGAAAATTCCAAACAACAGTTTATTGCAAAATAGGGGTTTTCCTTCTCAGAACCTTTATTTTATTTTATTTATTTTTTTTTTTTCCTTCTCAGAACCTTTAAAAAGAACCACCTGTCCCTGGAGCAGTGCAGTCCTGTGGAGTCCGCCTGAGTGTGGTGCTCTTGCGGCTGTCCTGGCCAGATATTTCAATAAATCTTTGTCTGTTTTTTTTAATAAATCATCAGCCTCCAGTGGTCTTATTTTGAACCCAGGGTTGGACCCACACCACCACACTTGCTTTTTTTCCCAAACCATAAGAGAACGTTTATTTAGAAAGTCACAGAGGTAGAATAAATAAGCAGAAGATATGGGCTTCAGGAAACAAGTTACAGAGGCAAAAGATGGGGCCCTTTGAGCTTAGGAGAGAACAAAGTCATAGTGAGACCCTTGGGGGGAAGGGGCGGGGAGGGGAAAGGCGCGGGGGCGAGCTCAAGACTGTCCCACACTTGTCTTGAGCAGATTTGAGGTTGAATTAGTCATGAAGTGGAAGTTTCCATTATCTGAAGGTAACTAGCTTCCTGGATCCATCCTACACACACCAGATGGGGGGTGGGAGGTGGGGGGATTATTTAGGTTTCTTCACTGCTAACACCCCCTATCCCACCGGCTTCCTAATGTCCGCAGGACATAGTCTGACTGGACATTGAACTTCACGTTAGTTTCCCCCCTTTTCACTTCATGTCCGTTCCTAAGTTTGGGCCTTAACTTGCTCTGATCTCATTACCATGACTGCCCTTCATCCTTCCCCAAAATTCAGCTTGTTTTTTTTTTAAATAACAATTAAAAAAAAAACTAGGTGTCACTAGGAACCTTGGTGGTATGTGAGCATAACCAAAAGGCATTTATTAGGTGTCACTTGTACGCACTATTTTCAAGAAAGCAAAGCTCGATGTAGAAAACCCAACTGGGCCGTGAGCGCTGAGCCAGTCACTCAGGTGACTAAGTGCGAGAGATGCAAGGCCAGAGGAATGCCCATGTGAGATTTGCAACGTGGCCCAGCCCCCAGGCCCAGAATGGTCTGCCGGATACCCGGACCTCCCCACTGTCGAACCACAGCTATTTTTCCTGCATAATGCAAACATGGTGGACACGGAAAACCTTCCCGGTGTTTGGCGGCCGAGCCACGCGGCGCCTTTCCACGCAGGGCGAGCGGGGACCCCGCTGGAATTTGGAGGGCACCGAGGACCGGAGAACCGCTCCAAACCAAGGCATCACGGTCCTTTCCACACACGCGGGCAGGACCACGGCGGCCCCTCATCCTCCAAGAGGCCAGAAAGGTGGGTGCTGAGACGTGGAGGAAGTCCCTCCGCCCCGCCCCTTCTCCGACTGGACCCGCCTCGGCTCCTCGCCGCGTCGGACTCGGGGCCCTAGCAGCGCGCAAGCGCACTCCCTGCCGGCTGCGCCAAAGCGGGACCAACGCTCTCGTCTCGCGAGAACGCCGCCGGCCGGTCCCCGTTGCTCTCGCTCGCTCGGCCCCATCCCCCAAGCCCGTCGCTGTGCTGCGCAGCTCCCTCCGCGGCTGCCTCCGCCGGAGACGGTTGGGAGAACCGTTGTGGGAGCGCCAACCCGAGGAACGCGGCTTCTTCCTCCTGCCGGCCGGACCCCGCGGACGCTGCAGTCGCTTGACAGGGTATCTGAAGTACAAGGGGGTAGGTTGGGCTGGCGGCGCCGTGAGCCGAGTCGGGAGAAGGACGGGAGAGGGGGTGGGGGAGGGGGAGTGTGGAGGTCGCCGCTCGGGAACGGCCAGGCTGCGCCTCCCGGGCGATCTCCCACTTCCCAGGGGTTTGAGGGGGCGGCTTGTCGGGGGGTGGGGGGGGGACACCCGTTCATGCGGAACTGAGTGAGGGAAACCGCAGCCCTCCGCTGGCTCGGCCTCCGCCATCTTGGGCACGGTGGCGCGGCCGCCCGGGCTTCCCGCCGGCGCCTTCCTCTCTCTCCTTCGGCTCCCCAACTCCCGGAAGCTGGTGTGGGAGGCCGGAGGGTGGCCAGGGCGCCCCGGCGGGGAGAGGGTGGGGAGTGGAGCGAGCCGGGAGAGGCCGGGCAGCGGGTGGGGCTGCCTGGGCCAGCGGGCGCGCTCCCGATGGAAATGGCGCGGGATGGGCCCGGCCTCCCCCCCCCCTCCTCCCTCCCTCCCTCCGCAGTCTCGGCCGGGCTACCTGGGCTGGCGGGACCGCGAGTGTCTTCTGACGCAGATTCTCCAGAGCAGAGAGGCTGGCGCTGGGGGAGGAGAGCCGATGGCGGCGAAGGCGCTCCGCTCCCGGCCGGGACAAAGGCGGCGGAGTGAGCGGGCCCGGCCGCCGGGGCGCGGGGGGCGGGGGCGCGCTCCCGAGCTCTCCGGTCCTGGGGCAGCTAGATAAGCGGAAAGCCTCCGGGGCGGAGAACAGGACGCTTAGCCGGCCCTTATAGCCCAGATTTGGAACTTCGAAAAGAGTACGTACTTCTTTTCCAACGGGTCTTTTTGTTGTTGTTATTTTATTCACGCTTACCTTAAACCTATTTAAAGAATCTGTGGGTGATTTGGTTTGTGAGCAGAAAAGGGGGTTAAAGAGGAATGTGAAATGGATAGTATTTCAAATAGGTCGCCCGGGCCCAGGGAGCTGTGTGATGAGGCTTATTGAACTCCGGGGCGGGAGGGGGGCAGCGGAGCGGTTGGTTTTGTGTGGTTTGGCACAGGCCGGGTTAGCATTAGGCGTTTACATTTGGAAAGAAGTGAAAGCAGTCAGTGGAGGCAAAAATGTGTCTGTGTGCAGGAGTTGAGTTACTGTTCGAAGACCTGGGTTGGGGGGTCAGGGGGGCCGGGCATTAGGTTGTAGAAGTAAAATGACTTAAAAATGCAATTGGTGTTTATTTTCTGATGGCATGTTTTGTTTTGTTTTAATCTAGTGTAGAACTATCGGAATATTTTGAACAGGAGCATATGCCTACTCAACAGAGAGACACACTAAAGCCCAGTCCATAGATAGTGGGGTGATTTGGGTCCTTAGAACACGGGAGAAGCTGGGTCGGAAGTTTACACTGAAGACAATAGGAAAGGGGAAGAGGAGTTTCCACAAATTCATGGGAATCTTTACAAGCAGGTGGTCTACTTTGGGGACTTTGATATGTGATATAACAGCTTTCCTAATATGATTGCCCTAGAAATCTTTTTTCTGCCCTCATACGCATCATAATATGGAAATCCATGTAAATTGCCTTTAAATTTTTTGACAGAGTGTGTGCGTGTGTGTGTGTGTGTGTGTGTGTGTGTGTTATGTCCTCGTTTTAGTAAACAAGTGGCTGAATGTAATAACTCGTTCAAATCCCTTTTTATGAACTTACCTCCTTTTAGGTATTAGTGATGTGCCTTTTTTTTTTTTTTTTTTAAATTGAGTGAGCACTTTGAAAGGGGGGATGATTTTAAATTAACATATCACCACGTTTTTTGCCAAAATTTGAAGTTCATTCTCATTTTTTAGGACCAGAGGATTGTCATTTAGAAAGTTGTTATTGATGCATCAAACCCTTTTTGTATTGTATGCTTAAGAAGATAGTGTAATTTCTGTGATAAAAGAATCTGTTAGATGCTTTTACTAAGGAACTAAAGTTTTATACAAAACCCACTAAAATTGTCCTATTATTTCAACTGCTGGTATTTTTAATTGGTGCTAACACTTGGAAATCTTAAAACAATGTGATTGGCCATGATGCTGTTGCAAAGCATTATCCTGAATAAATTAGTAAAAGCTAAGTGGTTTCTGAGACAGCTTTATTAAGGTACCAAAGTTGGTTGTATGCCTTTAAAGTTCGTTTTGGTTTTCTAAGTAGAATACTAGACTCAATTTTTGGGTTTTAAAGAGATAACAGTGTGTGCTTCCGTTTTTATTGTGTCCTCTGTGAACACAGGTGAAGAAGAATCGCCCTTTTAAAAGTTTCCTCTGAATCTGCTTAATTTTTCCGTAATTTAAAATTGTGTTAACTTTAGGATGTGTGTGTGTTTTAATGCTCACCTTAGGATGCTTTTACTAGTTTTTAGAGAAAGTTGAAGGGAGGGGGAGAGAAACATGGAATAAAGTTGCTTCATGTACATACCCTGGTGAGAAGCGACCTAGGTATGTGCCCTGGCTGGCATTCAAATCTGAAACCTTTTGATGTGTGGGAAGACGGTCCAACCAAATGAGCCACCCAACCAGAGTTAGTGTTTTTTAAAGACGTTGTGCCTTATCTGTTATTTTTACTAAATAGGCTCTCATTGGATTAACTGATCCCGAAAATCAAAACTAGTTTGCTCACTAGTGCTTGTAGTAAAGGTAATCTTATATCCAGCTTTTTGTATTTGTTCCCAAAACATTACCTTCACATTGAAAAAAATGCTAAATGATAAAAAGCACCATACTAATATCTTTTCACAACAGATTAGATTGACTTTGCAAAGTTATTAGATTTTTTTCATGAGGAAGTGATGTATTATGTTAAATCTCCGCTTTTTTCCCTTGTCCCTAAATCACTCTTTATAGGAAACAGCTATTTAAGTTGGTGCTGTTGTTTTTTTGTTTTGTTTTGTTTTGTTTGTTTGTTTTTACAACAGTTTAAGAAAATGGTAGATATTCAAAATGTCTCTCTTCCCCCCAGACTGATTGGAGGCCTACTTTGAGGGCTATTAGATCAGTTTTTCCCTCTGCTTTAGACGATTTCCAAGGAAATATGAAACTGTCCTTTTGAGATTCAGAATACTTTTCTGTCCTAGAAGGTTCAACCTGTTACTTTGTGGTACATTTCATTAGTTCTTCTGTGCCCTGAATAATTTTTAAAAGTGTCCGGTGAGGTCTAGGCAGCATTGCTGCATTTTTACAGTTGGACACAGCAGTAAGTACTTTGCTTAAATTAAGGAGCCAGTGAGTGACAGACTTTAAGGATTCAAGCCATTTCTTTTCTCTAAAATTAAGTCCATTACCAGTTATTTGTGTGCATAAGAATTGTAATGTCAAATAAAAATGCATAATCTCACTTTTGGGACATCTGTGTGGGACTAAAAAAATAGCAGCAGCCTGGCTGGTATAGCGCAGTTGGTTGAACATCCTCCGGTGCACCAAAAGGTTACCAATTCGATTCCTAATCAGGGCACATGCCCAGGTTGCAGGCTTGGTCCCTTGTAAGGGGCATGCAGGAAGGAGTCAATAGATGTTTCTCCCTCTCTCTTCCCTTCTCTTTAAAAGTTACAGCAACAATAAAGAACGGGCACCAGAAGTGATTCATATGCAGAGCTGATTTGATTTATAACCACTTTTGGGAAATTCTACATTAGTTTATTTTAAATGAAAGCAAGAATTCTAGGCAGGGGAATCTCACTCTCTGCAGATACTGCCCCTAACAGTTGCACTGCTAATTCAATCATGTGAAATTAAGTATTAATGAATCCTGTTGGTATGAAATAAGTCTTAAGCATAAAGGAATCGAGTGAACAAATTGTTTTGTTTACAGGGGAGGAGGTGGTGAGGGAAATTTTTGAAATAACCAGGTGAGTAGGATTCCTACAGCTGCATAATGAAATTTGTAAGCTCTGGTAAGTTTCTGCAGCTGAAGGACTTCTGCATTAGCCTCTTAACGTGTTCTGGAATCTTTAAGGAAGGACGGTTGTCTTGGGAAGGGACCGGGTGGGTGGGTCTTTCTGGAGGGGAAAGAGGTCTATTCACTGTACCCTTTCTAATACTTTTTGAGGGTGAATGTATTGTCATTTTTTAAAATTTGTGTCTAAAAGTAAAGCAGTGAGTAACTTTTAATATAGTATGTTCAGTAACTTAAGTGGCCTTTTTACAACTCCATTTTTGAAATTCAATCTAGTTTAATCATTTAAAACTTACTCTTGGGAGTGTGTGAACCAGATTTCGTTACAAGAGAGTTAAAAATTTCCCCCCTTCAAAAGATTGGATATGTTCAGAACTATAGTGCATCTAATAAATTTACACTTTTATGATGCCATTTTTTCCAACATCAAAGAAGTACTCATACGTACTTTTGGCTTGTGTTCTTAATGTGAGTGGATGGTAGTACTTATGTACATCTTTTGAGTGATCAGGTTTTTAAGAATTTGCAGAACATGGAAAATGAATGAAAATTTGAGAGATGGGGCAGAGGTAGAGTTAATACTAAAAGGCAGGTTAGGAAATAGAGTTTGAATAAGAAGACTTAGAGTGGAATTAAGTAAACTTAGTCAAAATTAGGTAAAATATAATATTTGATTCTTAGAAATTGAGTGCTTTTTGGTGGGAGGAGTCAGGTTTCACTGCCTTTCCCAATTTTTTTTGCCCGACCCAAAACAGAAAGGTGTTGTGTTGTAGCATTGTCATTGGAGTCATTGAGTCCTGTTACATTTCCTGTTGTGCACCATTGAGAGGTGTTTCTTCAGTATATTTTGATTGAGTATATTTTGATTGACTGCTTTATGTGCTTGTTTATTTTTTTTATAGCATTTAATCAAACGGTATTGAGATGGATTGGGTTATGAAACATAATGGTCCAAATGACGCTAGTGATGGGACAGTACGACTTCGTGGACTCCCATTTGGTTGCAGCAAAGAGGAAATAGTTCAGTTCTTCCAAGGTACCTCTAGTATTAGTCAAAGTTTAGTAGATTTTGTTATTACTCAATTTTTTAATTTATAAAACCCATTTGCTTGTTTGGGGGACTTTTTAATTTGAATATGTCTTGGTTAATGTATAGTTATGAAATTTGCTCCAGTTAATATTTAATACAGAATGTATAGAATATGTAAAACCTAACTAATGTGCAATAAACTTAATTGAGTAATTATGTGTGATGAAATGAACCATGAATTAGAAGATGGAGCATAGTTTAATTTGATTTCAGCTTTTTTTTTTTTTCCATGTAATATAGGTGGGCTGTTAGAGTATGTGATTTATAAAGACATTCATAGAGAAAAAAAACTTGTGTAATCCAATTTTTGAAAAAATCTTCCATTTGTATTATGGGGTGATGGGGATCTAAGTTCTTTGCTTTGTTTTGTTTAGAGTTGTTTTAAATATTTGATTCAGATGGGAATGTTTCAGCCTTTAACACTGTTCCCCTTGATGGGGTTATTTGTCCTTGGGTTAAAGGGTTGGAAATCGTGCCAAATGGGATAACATTGACGATGGACTACCAGGGGAGAAGCACAGGGGAGGCCTTCGTGCAGTTTGCTTCAAAGGAGATAGCAGAAAATGCTCTGGGGAAACACAAGGAAAGAATAGGGCACAGGTGGGGATGGAGAGTTTGGGATGGTGTTACATTTTTATTTTTGGGGGTTGTGGGTCACTATTGCTTAAGTGGGGGGTACCAGTAACATTTTTCTGGGATAGTTTTAAAAAATTGATAATTTAACTTGGAAACTACAGATATGGGTGGGGAATTAATGCTAATAGTTTGCTTAAATTAAAATTAGATTGTTTCCATTTCTCTGTAGGATGTTGATAAATGCTTTTGTATAATCAACTATTTTCTCTAAACATCTATCTTGTGCTTAAGGAAACAAGCTAAAATTATTATATTTATATCTCAGATGATTGATTTGTCTATGTAAAACTTAAATATATTAATTATTAAGTTTGTAGGTGTAAAAATGTTAACTTTTGGTGTATTTAGGATAAATTGGGTTATGTATATAGATACAGAAAAACTTATTGCATTTTGCCCAATATCTTATTTACTCTAATACATTTAAGCTGAAACCAGTACCTTAAACCATTTTTAAATAGGTATATTGAGATCTTCAGAAGTAGCAGGAGTGAAATCAAAGGATTTTATGATCCACCAAGAAGACTGCTGGGCCAGCGACCAGGACCATATGATAGACCAATAGGAGGAAGAGGGGGTTATTATGGAGCTGGGCGTGGAAGTATGTATGACAGAATGCGACGAGGAGGTGATGGATATGATGGTGGTATGTGTATCTAATGAACAAAGGTTCTGTTGTCATTTTCTTAATGTTTCTGACACTTTGTCAAGAAATACAGAAATGGCAGTAATTTCAGTACCTACTAGGTTTTAAAACCTGTTCATGAAACTACGGATTCCCATAGCCAGCTGTGGGACTTGATTGATGCACATATTGACACCTAGATAATGTATACAAAAATTAAAATGAAGATATTGACCTGTTTGGACATTTTCTTCTTGGCATCAGAGTGAAATTAAATGTCTAAATGTATCCTTTTTAGATTTTTAATTTTTTTTACCAGGTGTTAACTGCTTTTTTTTTTTCACATGTTGGGAGTTGTAATACTTTAGTCAAACTGCTTATATAGAGTATGCTTTTGTAAACTATAAAATTTATCTCTTAAAGTATTCATATATTTTCTCAAATTACACAGGTTATGGAGGTTTTGATGACTATGGTGGCTATAATAATTATGGCTATGGAAATGATGGCTTTGATGACAGAATGAGAGATGGAAGAGGTAAATTAAATATTAAAGACATACTTGTTTTTAGGAGAATTTTGGTAAAATCAATTCAGGCATATTTTAGTGTATTCCTAAATAGACCTTTGTACTAGAGATCCGGTGCATGAAATTCATGCATGGGGGAGGAGCTCAGCCCGACCACCCTCTCCAATCCAGGAATCCTCCTGGGATGTCCTTCTGCCAGTTTAAGCCCGCTCCTGCAGACATCCCTCTTACAATCCAGGAGTACTCCTAACCCTCGCCTGCCTGCCCGCCCTAACCACTCTGCATGCCTGATCCCCCTAACTGCCCTCCCCTGCCAGCCTGGTCGCCCCTATAATCTTTTTTAGTCTTATTCCCTTCATATGCAATTGTATTTGACTTCTTATTGGCTTCTCCCTCACAAAATTTTTCTCTCCTTTTCTGACCAACTCATTTATAAACTTTTCTTTCCTCCTTTTTCCCTCCTATTATATCCTTCCCATCTTTTTCCTATCCTCCCTCCCCACAATCCTCCTTCCCTTTACCTTTATCCCTGCCCTCCCACCCCTTTTCCTTCCTTCCCACCTTAATATTTTTTCCTCACTTCCTCCCTCACACATGCTTAGCTCACTCCATTTCTTCCCTATTCCCATTCTCCTTTTAAGGTCTGCCTGCTCACCTTTAAAACTTTTCTTCCCTCGCTCTTTCTCATCCTACCTTCCCCATACATTCTTCTCTACTTACTTCCATTGTTTTAATATCTACCTGCCTAATTATTCACTATCATTTATCTTTTTTCTGACTCCTACTTTTAAAATCTGTCCCCAATACTCAACTATACTTGATTTTCGTTTATACAGTTCACTTATACATCCTTTCTCCTCCTCTAACTCTGCTCTCTACCGACACCTTGATAAAGTTCTTGCCTCCTTCCCTCCTTAAAGCTTCCATTGGGGGAGGGGCGTTAATCCCCGCCTAGGCCAGTTGTTCATTGCCCACCCACCCACCCCCACCCCCCCTTTCCCTGGCTTCTCCGCTGCCATCCTGCTCCCATTCCCTGCCTAGCGAGGGTGGCCGAGGCCCAGGCACTGCTGCTGCCGCCCCTCCCGCTTGCAGCTCTGCGTTTCCTTTCCTATTCCTGCATCTTTTTTTGTTGTTCCCTTTCTGTATTTGTTTCTCTTGGCCTGCCTGCAGGCAGGCCTGCCTTCCTCTCCCTCACTTTCTTATTCCCTCCTATTGTATCCTATTCCACCCCAGGCCTGCAGCTGCTTGAGCAGAGGGCAGGGACACAGCCTGCTGATTCAGTCATGACGTGACACTGTAGCAGATAATTCACATATTTCTCTATTAGTGTGTGTATGTATACTCATTGATAAATTCTCCATTTGATGTTTTAACAACTATAAGTGTTAAAACCTCTTGGGGTTGTCAAAAAGCTGTAAATAGGAAAAGATGTGTTTAGGGAAGAAATATTTTGTTGAAATGCCTTCCTACATGTACCAGTTTATGACCTGGAAATGTCTTTTTAGGTATGGGAGGACATGGCTATGGAGGAGCTGGTGATGCAAGTTCAGGTTTTCATGGTGGTCATTTTGTACATATGAGAGGACTGCCTTTTCGTGCAACTGAAAATGACATTGCTAATGTGAGTGATTTTAGTAATTAGTGGTTTTATACTAATTCTTTTATCTACATTTTTAAAGCATTCTTAATGTTCTTGTTTTCATTTTAATATCAGAATCCTTTTAATGTGACTATATCTTCAATAGTTGAATATTTTTGTGTCCATTTTGTGCTGACCTACATAGGATTCAAGCAAGTAAATGCTACAGTTACAAAGTCCAGTTAAGAATTTAGTGAAAGACTGCTTAGCATTGTGGTGGTAACTGGGAGATTGTTTCCTTTGTGTGGAGTTTCAAAAGTATAAATATATCTAACAAGTGAAAAGTTCAAGTAGTTTGGTTTGGCATTCTAGGCTATATGGTGCTGAAAATAATGGAAATAGATGCTGCTATTAATTTGAAACTGGTTGGTTTCATATTGGTTAGAGATTTAGCGAATTTCAGCCCAAAAGCCATCCAGTATTTGGCTCCCAGTGGCCTACAAAGCCAAGAGTATTTACTGTGTAGCTTTTAAAGAAAATTTTTTGCTCTAACTCTTAATTGGGAACCTTCTTGGCCTAAGTCCCAGGTATCTGTATTTTCCTAAGTGTGGTCTTATATTCTTAGAACCTTTAGTGTTGATGTAATTGTTAGCCTATTTTAAGAATTTTATAATGACTGACGGGGCAGTAGAAGGGTTGTTTCAATGAACAAAAACAAAGGCATCTGGTGATTCTGGTAATAAAAAAGTAATGTTTTTCTTTAGTTCTTCTCACCACTAAATCCAATACGAGTGCATATTGATATTGGAGCTGATGGCAGAGCAACAGGAGAAGCAGACGTAGAGTTTGTGACACATGAAGATGCAGTAGCTGCCATGTCCAAAGATAAGAATAACATGCGTAAGTAGTATCCTTGGCATGCTAACTTGTTTCCTAGGTGTGAACTTGTTTATTATAAGTTCAGACTTTCATAGCTTTCTAGGGAATTTTATATTTTATATTGAAGCATTAATTCAGATTCTTAATACTTGACAGGTAATTATCGCTTAAGTTGTTAAAAGGGGGAATAGGTATGTTACTTGTCTGAGTTTCATGCCTTTTGCCCATGGGTATCACTTTAAAAAAATTTTTTTTTTTAAATTGATTTCAGAGAGGAAGGAAGAGAGAAACATCGATGAGAGAGAATCCTTGATTGGTTGCCTCTAGGGGACCGAGCCCACATGTACCCTATCTGGGAATCAAACTGTGAACTCCTGGTTCATAGGTTGACGTTCAACCACTGAGCAGCACCAACTGGGCAGTACATCTTAACATATACGTTGATCGACTTGGATAAGTTATTCCTTCATGTCATCAAATCAGTTTTGTAAGCCATTTAATTGTACTTTGACCAGTTATTCCCAAATATGGCTACACATCTATCACTTAAAAACGTTTTAAATCACTTAAAAAGGGTACTTAAAAAGTTTTCCTGGACATTACTATTAAGATTCTAATTCAGTTCTATGATTGGGCCTGTAATATATATATTTTAATATATTTTGACTTTTTACAATAGCAAGAGAGAGGGATAGTTAGAAACATTAATCAGCCGCCTCCTGCACACCCCCTACTGGGGATGTGCCCGCAACCAAGGTACATGCGCTTGACCGGAATCGAACCCGGGACCTTTCAGTCCACAGGCAGACGCTCTATCCACTGAGCCAAACCGGTTTTGGCCTGTAATATTTTTAAGAAGTGTACCAGCTGCTTCTGAAACAACGTATCAGTCCTTTTTATAGATAAGGAAACTTGTTAAAGATTATATAGTTTGAACAAAACTAGATTTTATCTCTGACCAGCATTTGTTTTATCACTCCCCTCAGAATCTGTAAACATACTTAGGTTTAATATTAGGTAGTCAGCCTGTTTATGCTTTGATAAATTTGATCCATTTTCCCTATTATTCTTTTTTTCTCAAGAACATCGATACATTGAACTCTTCTTGAATTCCACTCCTGGAGGCGGCTCTGGAATGGGAGGTTCTGGAATGGGAGGCTATGGCAGAGATGGAATGGGTATGTATAGTTTTGTAAAGTGAATGGAGTTGAGTTAGACACTTAGCAGTCAACCTCAAACTTGTTTGTTTTGTTTTTAAAGATAATCAGGGTGGTTATGGATCTGTTGGACGAATGGGAATGGGGAACAATTACAGTGGCGGATACGGGACTCCTGATGGCCTGGGTGGTTATGGTAAGTGTCTGGCTACTCTGGTTCGGTTTTTAGCCCCCATATGTGGTGCAGACTGTCTTCTACTTTGGTAACCTCTTATTAAACCCCCAATGTCTTTTTTTCTAAGGTCGTGGTGGTGGAGGAAGTGGAGGTTACTATGGGCAAGGTGGCATGAGTGGAGGTGGATGGCGTGGGATGTATTAGAGCAAAACCACCAACATAATAGTCCTGACAGCAGAATCTGGTCTACTAGTCTTTCTTACAGATTTAATTTCTTTTGTATTTTAAGAACTTTATAATGACTGAAGGAATGTTTTCTCAAATCTCATTTGGTAAAGCAACAGATTGTGATGGGAAAATCTGTTTCTGTAGGTTTTATTTGTTGCATACTTTCACTTAAAATAAATTTTTATATTCAAACCACTGATGTTGATACTTTTTATATACTAGTTACTCCTAAGAATGTGCTGTTTTCATAAGATTTGGGTTGGTGTATTTTATTATTAGCTCTACAAGAAGTAGTTGTAATTTTAGAGAATAATGGTTCACATCTGCATAAGCTGCAAATCTTAATGAGACATGGAATAGAGCTTGAAAAAGGAACAATACTGTAAATATAAAACCTAAATATGGGTTTAGGTGGGCTCAAGAGTATAAATTCTGTTAATTCTATATTAATCTTCAAATGTCACTTATCAGGCATAGCTCTGAAATGTTGATGAGGTATCTGGATTTCTCAGTAGTCATAATGGTGTTGCCCAAGGATGGAAGTTTAAATTCTAGCCCTAGATTTTAGAATAAAATCTCCTCACACTTGACTGAAGTACCAAAAAATGTTTCTAAAAAGTGATAGTTGTAAGTTATCTCAAGTTTAGACTAGGTTAAGGTTCCAAGTGACATGAGAATTCAGTACAAAGGTATTAACTATGGAGTATAGTTCTCACAGGTGTATTTTCATTTTAAGCCAAATAGTTAAAACATTTTTTTAATAACTGTATAACCCTTAAAAATATAAGAGACAAATCCATGTTGTAGTCTTAATTAAAATGAGAATCCTACAGTTGGATTTTGTATCAGATAGCTGTTTGGCGTTTCAGGGCCATTGTGTTAAATATTATATGTAGCAAGGAAAAGGTGCTTTTTACTTTTAATCCCTTTGATCAATATGGCTTTTTTCCAGATTGGCTAATGGATCAAAATGAAACCTGTTAATGTGAATTCAGTTATTGAACTTGTTACTTGTTTTTGCTAGAATGTAATAAATATCAATGTGGGAGATAATAGTATGGTGTCTGTCCTAGAATGCTTTGTGTCAATTACTGATCATATATTAAAATATGTCTTACTGAAGATAAGACAAAGTGACTCCTAAGGAGTGATTTCTGCTTTAGAGAAGGTAGCGGTGATAGCCTGTCAACTAAGCAACATTTCATCTTAATGCCTGTACCTACTCTCTTAACTATCCCTTTTAGTCCCTTTAGAGATCACATGTTTTTATTTCCCATGAGTAAAACTAAATAGTGTTATCAATGAAAATTGCTCTTCTAAAGCAGGATAAGTTTTATTTGTTTTATAAAATTCACATTTTATTTTAAAACATTACAGGGTAGAAGGATTATAATCACAATTCCTTGGCACCATGATAGCATTATTGTGGTAGTACTGGCTAGATGAGGGAATGGTGTGTGAAGTTTGCAAATCTTCCTGGAAAAACAAGTATAGGTTCACAAGTAACATAAATTTCAAAATTGGTATGTGTTTAGTTTTTTAAAAGCTAAAACTAAATGGAGCAAATTGTGTCAAAAGCTTGCCTACAAAAATCCCAACTCAGTGGCGATGCATTAAAAATCATAGTTAGCCTTGGAATTTAAGCAAAAAATCACTTTTTTAAAATTTGTTCTAAGCACAATTAAAAAAACACTTGGTATCATAAAAATGTTCATCCAGCAATACAAAACAGTTTCAATAATATAATTTATCTCTTCAACATTTCTATCAGAGCATTCAAGAAAGACCACCTAAAAATCTGTCGTTCTGCCAGAAGATCTCAAATTGAATTATGAAGAAAATCTGTTAAGTAAAATATTAGTTTCATATTTTGGCAATTTAAAAAAATAATTTTTAAACTTAATGAAAGTATGTACTCTGGGGAAAAGATCCTGCAAAATAAGTAACTCCATCCTAGGGGGTAGGGTGTAGCCATGATTAAGTTCACTAAATATAATGCTCCTAGGAGTAAGATTATTCTAATATCACATTGTTTGAAAGGTTCACAGGGGTAAAGTGCATGGCTAAAATCTGACCCAAAAAGGGGGGGTGGGGGGGCTTAGGGTCCCTAGTAGTGATGCCATTCAAGTGATTATATACAAGGGGTAGCTTGCTTTTTACAAATTCTTGTATATGCTATAAGCAATACAATGAGATTAGTGTTTATTCAATCTCATGCTTGAAATGGTTCAAGTATGTATTTCATGGCAGATCTGAGACCACATCTTCATCTGCTAACCAACCCTGGTTTAGAGGTGCTCAGTATGTGGTACGTTTTTTATCATATATGCAGTAGCAAACCACTGCAATATTAATGCTTAAAAAATTACTGGAAAAATCTGCAAGTAGCAACTTAAGGTAAAGAATGATTTAAATTTACTTTCAAAATAAGGAAAAGGTTGAGGCAAAACCTTTAACCCGCTGTATCTGAAAGATAGCAAGACCATATAGCATAAAATACTGGCCTTTTCTAATGCAACATGAGCAAAGGGCCAAATAAATATAGTTGACACCTTAGGAAGCTAATTGAAAATCTGTTGAATTGGAATGTTAACAAAAAATTCTACACACACACACACACAAAAAAAAAAATTCTACACATTTCCCATCTTTCTCTGAGAACCATGAAGCTTTTAAAGTGCATTAAAAAAATTATAGGCACCATCAGATATCAACTTGGCGATCTGGAGAAGAAAATCTGAAGCCCTATTTTTAAGAAGGCCTTTATAAAATAAGGCAACTGTGTTAGCTATGCTATCTGGCCTTATCAATGTTAAGAGTTACATGATTATTACATGAACTAGGAATTAGGTTATTTTAAAGCATGCCCTGTTGAAATTCTTTTTTAAAAATGCAAAGTAAATAAATTATACAACTTTTTAATTCCCAATAATTGAAGATGTGAAAAATAAAACTGTACCAATACTGTCTGAAAGCTGCTTAAGAAGGGCTGTCTGAGTATGTTGTGCACGTGTTCATATATAACATTTATCATTAGTACTTCCATACAATGATTTCGCTTTAGAACCTTATGGCAAGTTAGATGAGCATCTCTGAATCAGCAACGCATGACAGGAATCACAAACCCGTACTGGCTTTGGTGAAGAAGGCAAAGGCAGTTCGTTGTCAGAGCAAGCATTACAGAAAATTTCCCCACAATTTCTACAGTGGTGCTGTTAATGGAAATGAAGAGAAAAAAATGAATAAAATTAACAGCCATATTTGCCCTGAAACTTTTGGACTTACTTTCTACTTCACTTACCTTTCTCTTAGAGAGTGAGAACTCCTTTTCACAGAGCTTACAATGTGTTGCTTCTTTGTCTTTCAACCAAACCAGTCCCTAGTAGGAGGAAAATTAACATAATACTCAAATTGGCAACACTAAGTTACATGTGGAAACGTTTTTAACCAAGAACACTTTATAGGAATGTATACAGGTGGAGAATCAACAATTAGTCTTGCCCGGCCTGTGTGGCTCGCATTGACATATAACTAGGAGGGCACAGGTTTCATTCTCATCAGGGAATGGCCTGTGATGTGGGCTCCATCCCCATTAAGGGTGGCAGCTGATCAATGATTTTCATTGATGGTTCTATCCCTCTCTCAAAAGTAAATTTTTTTTAGATGAGTCCTTTCTCTGAGATATACTGAAATAGTTGTAAATTAAGTGTGTGGCCTTGTTTCAAAATGACCAGACAAGGGACAGGATGTGGGTTGTGTGTGTATATATAAGAAAGATTGGTCACATGTAGGTAAATACTGAAACTGGATAATGGTTTGTTTCTTTTTCTTTTTTCTTTTTTAAAATACAGTTTGATTTTTTACAGAGAGGAAGAGAGCGTGATAGAGAGTTAGAAACATCAATGAGAGAGAATCATTGATCAGCTGCCTCCTGCACACCCACTACTGGGGATGTGCCCACAATCTGGGAGCCCGTAGGGGTGGGAGGCAACCCAGAGTTCAGGGGAAGGTGACACCCCCATCACAGCTCTGCTGCTGCCATTGCCAGCAGTGCAAGCCTTGGGCAGCTGGGGGCTGAGGGGACTGGGATGGATGGATGGAGATTATTTATATGTGGATAACACTTTCTACTTACCTGCAATGCTTTGTTGGCTTCTTTTATATCTTCTATTTTAAGTTTTGATCTAAAAATATTAAAAATAAGTCCAAATTTCAGTACACATATTTAAATATAGGACATTTAGCAATTCACTAGAAAGGTACTGCTTTTACACATAATATTAAAATTGTATCATACATGATTCTAATAATCTTTGGCTAGTGGGATTATAGTTTACATTTTCCTATATTTCCTATCTGAAAGCAAAAATGTATTCTTTAAATTTAAAAATTGCTTTTTAAAAGAATACTGACATTTTCATGTGATTATGAAATTAGTATTAATAATTAGCAATCATTTTTGGCTTATGGTAATGCCAGACACTATGCTATAAACTTGCATTCATAATCTCATTTGATTTTTTATTTTATTTTTTTTAAGATGAAGAAGGTGAGTTCTGATGAGGGTTAGTCATTTATAACAAGTCACAGAAGTGGTAACTGGGGAAGCCAGGAGTCAAACCCTGGTCTGTGTGACCACGAAGTCCACATGCTGCCATTATACACATTATTTGACTAACAGGTGCAAAAGAGAAATTATGGAAGATATAATAGTAATATTTTAATTGAAGGTATTGGGTGACACTGGTTAATAAGATCATATAGGTTTCAAGTGTACATTTCTATGACACATGATTATATACTGCATTGTATGCCCACCACCCCAAGTCAAATCATCTTCCATCACCATTTAAATTTTTTTTTAACTTTTTATATTGCTAGTTAAAATACCTTTATTCACAAACATGGACTCTAAAAACCTTGCCTCTCTCTAATACAAACTGCCAAATATCCTAAAGAAAAGGGCTATTGGCCCAGCTTGGCTCAATGGTAGAGAATATACCTAAGAACCAGGAGGTCACGATTCAATTCCCAGTAAGGGCACATGCCCGGTTTGCAAGTTCAATCCCTGTATGGGGCACACAGGAGACATCTGATCAATGATTCTCATCATTAATTTTTCTCTCTCTCCCTCTCCCTTCTCTGAACTCAATTAAAAAAAAAAAAGTTTTAAATTACTGAGCCAACCTTGGGCCCTCATCATCAACAAATTTTTAAAGCAAAATTCATCATCCTTTGTATTGGGGAGAAATTTATTTTTACTTAATTCAACCTGATAACGTAATCATAGGAATAGAGGATGAAAAAGAAAGAGTATTTCAGCAGATAAACTGATACAATCTGGGAAAACACAGGGCAATTGGTCCTTCCACGAGTCCTGATTAAATTTTCGTCACTGCAGAAGAGGACTAACATTGACAAAGGTAGAATGTGTTTTGACTCAATTGGCCCTAAGGACTATTGGCCTCATAAGCATAAAAGGAAAACTAATAAAGCTGCTGATAAAAATTCAAACATTAGAAAGGAAAAAACTACATGACAAAGTGTGTGTGTGTGGCGGGGGGGAAGATGTATGCTGTGTACAATTCATTTACAAAGGTCCCGTAAGAAGAAGATAAGCAATCCAACCAAAATATGTGCAAAGAAGATAAACTACAATACAAATGAAACACAAACAGAAGTTCAACCTTGCTCATAGTTAAAGAAGTATAAATAGTATTTTCAATTATCAAACTGCAAAAAATAAACATTCTCTCCTACTTCTTTCTGGGGAAGGGTTTAACACTGGAAGCGATGGGTAACTTGGCATCATCAAAAAATTTGAAAGCACATTCTTTTTGGCCCAGGATTCATCTCTATAAACTTTTTAGATATACTCATTAATAAAGTATATCATGATATATCAACATATACATACAACATCTTTGGGTGATAGTGTTTTTCTAAATAAGTATTTTACTTATTTCAGAGAGGAAGAGAGAGAGAAAAACATCAATGTTGATAGAGAATCATTGATCAGCTGCTTCCTACATGATTTCCATAGGGGGAATCAAGCCTACAACACAGACATATGCCCTGACCAGGAATTGAATTGTGACCTAGTTCATAGGTTAATGCTCAACCACTGAGCCATGCTGGCCAGGCAGGATTATTTAAAAATTAGAATCAGGCTGAAACTGGTTTGGCTCAGTGGATAGTGCATCGGCCTGTGGACTGGAAGGTCCTGGGTTCGATTCCGGTCAAGGGCATTTATCTTGGTTGCGGGCACATCCCCATTGGGGGGGAGTGCAGTAGGCAGCTAATCAATGTTTCTCTCTCATCGATGTTTCTAACTCTCTATCCCTCTCTCTTCCTCTCTATAAAATATCAATAAAATATATATTTTTAAAAATAATAAAAATCAAACAGTTTTTTAAAAACAGGCACAGTTTCAATGATAGCACACTCGTGGCCCTGGCCAGGACACTCAGAGTGTTGTCCCAATATACCAAGACTGTGGGTTGGATCCTGAGTCAGGGCACAAACAAGAATCAATCGGTAGATGCATAAATAAGTGGAACAAATCAGTATTTTTCTCACTCTAGCTGGGTTGGCTCACTGGATAGAGAATTAGTCTGAAACTGAAGGGTCCCAGGTTCGATTCCTATCAATCAAGGATTCATGCCTGGGTTGAGGAGCCAATCAATGATTCTCATCATTGATATCTCTCCCTCTCTCCCTCGCCTTCTCACCTTCTAAAATCAATAAAGTGTGTGTGTATATATATATATATATATATATATTTTAAATCAATGTTTTTCTCTTTTCCTCTCTAAATCAATAAATATAAACAAATAAAAATGATAGCACATTCATCCTAAGGAATATATGTATTGAGATGGAAAATATTCTTAAGTAAAAAAATGCACAAACTTCAGAAAAACATGCATACAGCTGAGTTACACAGGGGTTAAGAATTTAGTTTACAATGAAAACATGTAGTGGTCAAAATAATCCTTGAAAATTCCTTAGTCAATTTCTTTTCTTTTTTTATTAAATATATTTTATTGATTTTTACAGAGAGGAAGGGAGAGAGACAGAGAGCTAGAAACGTCGATGAGAGAGAAACATCGACCAGCTGCCTCTTGCACACCCCCTACTGGGGATGTGCCCGCAACCAACGTACACGCCCCTGACCGGAATCGAACCCGGGACCTTTCAGTCCGCAGACCAATGCTCTACCACCGGTGTCGGCAGTCATTCAATTTCTGTATAGACTAAGTATCTGACTTTGAGCAGTATAATAATTTTCATGAAAACTAAAATTTGAGAAACAATGAACTAAAGAAAAAAACAAGTCTGAATTCAGCTATCTGAACAGTCAAAAGATCATGCTTTTAATAATTTCTTGCCGGGACCGGTTTGGCTCAATGGATAGAGCGTCGGCTTGGGGACTGAAAGGTCCCGGGTTCGATTCCGGTCAAGGGCATGTACCTTGGTTGCGGGCATATCCCCAGTAGGGGGTGTGCAAGAGGCAGCTGATCGATGACTCTCTCTCATCGTTGTTTCTAACTCTCTATCTCTCTCCCTTCCTCTCTGTACAAAATCAATAAAATATATTTAAAAAAAAAAAATAATAATAATTTCTTGTGTTGAAAGAGATGGGTGAAAAGACACATTCCTTATTTAACTATTCTAATCTGTTGTAATATTAAACCTTTATGATCTTACTAAATGTAAACATTTTTTGTTGTGGGGCTTCTTCATTGTTGAGTCCCTAGCATTTAGAATAGTGCCTGACACATAGCAGAAGATCAACAAGTATTTATCAAATGAATGAATGGAAGAAAGGTAATAAGCACTTAGCACTGGGTCTGACTCAAAGTGCTAAGTAAATGGATGCCAGAGTCACAATGCAGCTGTTTCTTTGAATTTGAAGAAATAAAAAAACTGTTAGAAAGCTAATGTTCCCTTTTGTGGTTTTAATGAGCTACTCTTTCCCCTACTCTTGGAAAGTTTCAAAACTTCTTACTGGAACCCCATCTTAAGAAAAATGCAGACCTCAGGAAACACGGAGGAATATGTGAAACCATTTCTCTTGTCTTTGTGGGAACCCAATAACATTTCAAACCAACCACACCGTATGAAGCCATGCCCTCACTCCAGACAAGATAAAACCCTTCACTTTCCACAATGTTGGCTCCTTCTCAAAACACTCTGCAAAAGCTGTCTCCAGATTTTTTAAAAGCTGGCTTCTGTTGTTCTGAGAAAAATATAACTCCTGAATACTCCGATTTAAAGAAATTAAGTCTTAGCTTCCATCTCCTAGAAAATGTTCAGAGCCAAGATCTAATATGGAAACTTAATAAAATATCTCTACCCTATAGTCTTATTTATTAATCTTCAAAGTTTATGTTTGGTTTTGTTTTTAATAGTTCTTTTTAAAAATATATATATATTTTTTATTGATTTTTTACAGACTCAATACTCCCCACTGGGTATGTGCCCACACACCAAGGTACATGCCCTTGACTGGAATCGAACTTGGGACCCTTGAGTCCACAGGCTAACGCTCTATCCACTGAGCCAATCCTGTTAGGGCTGTTTTTTATAGTTCTTATCTTTAAACTTTTCTGCCTATTTTGTTTGGCACAATTAATAAAAATCAATGACTACTTAGTTGAAGGAAAAAAAATTACTCGCTAAGTTTGTTGCCAAGTTCTTGAAGAGCTTGCTCCTTTTCATGATATATTTTTTTCAGCTGCTGATTTTCATCCTGGAGGTTAAGGAACTCCTTCAAAACAGCAAAAAAACAAACAGAAAATGCAATTTAAAAGAAACAAGAAAACTCCACATTATATACATTCCATTAATTAGGAACACAAATCCTTTAGCTTTTTATAAAAAACAGTATTGACTGACAGATCTCAGAGGGGAGGGGGGTTTAGGAAAAGATTAACCAAAGAATTTATATGCATACTAGAAGCCTGGTGCACTCCTCAGGGGAGTCCTCGCTCCTTACCTCCCGCCCACAGTGGAGGCAGGAGAGGCCACCTCCACTGTGCTTGCCAGCCATGAGCCCGGCTTCTGGCTGAGCAACACTCCCTCTATGGCAGTGCACTGACCACCAGGGAGCAGCTCCTGCATCGAGTATCTGCCCCCCGGTGGTCAGTACACATCATAGCGACCAGCTGTTCCACCATTTGGTCATTTGCATATTACGTTTATTATATAGGATATGCCTAGGCCATGGGTACAGACAATAGTGCAATTGAAGGTGTGGGGTGGAGAAGGTGGAGGAAGGCAAAAGGGGGAAATAGGGGACATCTGTAATACTGTCAACAATAAAAATAAATTTAAAAATAAAAAAAAATTATATGTCCAAAGCTTTTTAATAATTGCTCTATCAAATCCAACTATTTTCTATTCATTTAATATCTCTCTCTCTCTCTCTCTCTCTCTCTCTCTCTCTCTATATATATATATATATATATATATATATATATATATATAAATTTAAATATAATTCTATTGATTTCAGAGAGAAAGGAAAAGGAATAGAAATATCAATGATGAGAGAGACTCATCAGTTGGCTGCCTCCTACACACCCCCTACTGGGGATTGAGCCCATAACGGATGCTCTATCCACAGAGCCAAACCAGCTAGGGCTTCCTGATATTTTTTAAGATAACTAGTATAATGTTTCCTTAGTATAAATGTAAATTATGATTTGGTTCTCTATAAATAACTTTCATCAAAATATGATTTTTAAAATTTTACCACTATTTACTTTTTTAAGACTAATGATTTGTTGGGTCTCATTTCTAAGATGAGATAAGGAATCTTTTTCCTTTTGAAGATCTTCCTGCAAAGTCTGCCTCCATTCCTTCTCAATCTTCAAATCAGTTTCCAGTTGGGCCCTTGAATGACAAACAAACAGAAGCTCAGTACTGCTACTCACATGACAGTTGTATGTATTCTTTAACAAGAGCATCTTTTTGGTTGATTATTTTGCCTTTATAATTCATTTTAAGGTCACAAGATCCTATTACAACTAGTTACAGTAACAGTGTAGTATGAGAAATATGGGGTTTTATTTACATTTCTGTGCCATGTAAAAAAGTTTACAACATCTCACTAAGAAGACATAGCAATCCTAAATGTGTGGACACTAAATAACAAAACTTCGGAATACAACAAACAAAAACTGATAGACCGGAAAATAGAAATATCTAAGTCCAAGTTACTCGAAATTATAGAAAATTTAACCAGTCCTCTTTCAATAATTGATCTGCTAGACAAAAAATCAGTAATAACAGAGAACTTAACATTTCAACCAACAGATCTTAAGGCAGCTTAGCAAGTTATATATCAGACGTGATATGGGGTCTTGTTTAATGATCTATTTATTACACATAATACATAACTCTACTTTCTACTGTTTTTTTTTTAAATATATTTTATTGATATTTAACAGAGAGGAAGGGAGAGGAAGAGGGATAGAGAGTTAGAAATATCGATGAGAGAGAAACATCAATCAGCTGCCTCCTGCACACCCCCTACTGGGGATGTGCCCGCAACTAAGGTACATGCCCTTGATCAGAATCGAACCTAAGACCCTTCAGTCTGCAGACCAATGCTCTGTCCACTGAGCCAAACTGGTTAGGGTTGTTGTTTTTTAATAACAAAAGTAATATATATTTACTGTGAAGAAATATTAATGTTTATAAAGTAAAATTAAAATAACCCTGTCAGCCGAAACTGGTTTGGCTCAATGGATAGAGCATCAGCTTGGGGACTGAAAGGTCCCAGGTTCGATTCCGGTCGAGGGCATGTACCTTGGTTGCGGGCATATCCCCAATAGGGGGTGTGCAAGAGGCAGCTGATCGATGACTCTCTCTCATCGATGTTTCTATCTCTTTCCCTTCCTCTCTGTACAAAAATCAATAAAATATATTTTAAAAAATAAAATAACCCTGTCATTAAACTCTTTTCTATGTATATGTAAGTATACACATATGCAGTTTTAATTTTATAAGAAATAGGATCATACTTAGCCTAGCATACAGTCTGAAACTTTTTTTTCAACTCAATGACATATACTGACATCCTTCTTACTTAGCTATATACAGAACTATCATATGAAGTACTCATAAAAATGTTCTCAGAAAACATCATGTTCTTTGATAACAGATGTTCCTTGGAGTTATAAAGGCCTATAATACTTTGAATCTAGAAACACAATGGTCATCAGATTAATATTAAACAGAAATAAAACTCTCCTTGAGCAAAAAGACTGCAATACAGTTGAAAGCGCTTTATAAGCAATAAAGGTAGTAAAAAACAAGTTTTAATCTTAAGTATGTTACCTAATTTTTTTATTTTTAGGAACTCTACAATCCAGCTGGCATCATTAAATAAAAGAAAATATATTTTACCACAGGTGCAAAAAAAAAGGGGTGTGTAGCCGAAACCGGTTTGGCTCAGTGGATAGAGCCTTGGTCTGCGGACTGAAAGGTCCTGGGTCCGATTCTGGTCAAGGGCATGGACATTGGTTGCGGGCACATCCCCAGTCGGGGGTGGGCAAGAGGCAGCTGGTCGATGTTTCTCTCTCATTGACGTTTCTTAACTCTCTATCCCTCTCTCTTCCTCTCTGTGTAAAATCAATAAAAAAATATATTAAGAAAGGGGTGCATGGAAATTAAATTAATACAAATATTTTTTTCCAAGAGCGAAATACTCACAGCTGTTTCTCCTTTTGAGAGATTTGTTTCTGCAGACTGTCGGATTTACTCTGACATTCTTGTAGATATTTCTTATCTTCCTCTTCAGCTTCCAGTTGCGCCTTCTCTGCTTGCTGCAATCTGGTGTAATTCAAATCAACTTTGGGTAAAACTGAGGCTAGAACTAGGGTGTAAAAGGGTGAAGAAGACAAATAAAAGAAAAATGGGGAAATAGAAACATTTCTAAATGAAAACAAAGTTTGGGGGGAAACTCACAAACTCAAACGTGAAAGAGCCACACAATGTCTAAAAATTGTTTTGTGATTTTTTTCAATATAACATATAATATGCCCAGAATACTATCTTCAAATTTGTTTTATTTCTTGTTTATAATTAACAGTGCAAAGCAATACAGCCTTTACCACTTTTGTAGAGCATAATGAATCAACTGTCAAAGTAGAATAGGTGTGAAAAGCACAGTACTTATGTCTATACTAGGTGAAGAAACCGCATTGTCATATATTATGTTAGGATGTATATACCAGGAATCGAGTGTGCTAACAAGGCCAAGAGCAAAGACCTGCAATTACTTCAAATAATAGTTTAGTTCTCCCCATAGGATCATTACACACTTACTAATTTATGCCAAAGCTGTATGTATATGTGTGTTTGTGTTTTAAGATTTAAAAGAATTTGGTACTAATTGGCAACATTCTATAGAGATTATTTTTTGTTCCTCATCATTGCATTTTAAAAATTGGCTAAAAATGTGATTTCCATTTTTTCTGTTTTTATTTGTAAGGCATTGCTTCTCCCTGTGCTTAGTTCCACTCCCTGACTCCTATGGCCATCTAGGATTTCTTATATGAAACTTCAATATATTTATAAGAAAACATCTCTCAAGTATTCAAGAGACATTAATTCCTTTTAAAGAATCCTAAGAGAAATTTCTATTCAACTAACCAAAAATATTGCCTCTTCTTTTCTTCCTTAAAACCATACCAATGGGGCAACCCTCACATATTTATGAAGTATGAATGCTACTTCTAAGGAAAAGAGAGTAACGTTCAAGTTATCTCTAAATTTAAAATATTAAGGTTGGGGGGGGGGGGGGGGACACAAGTGTTTTCATGTTACAGAAACTAAAAGTAAGTCAGTGTGAGGTAGGCCATGAAGCTGTGCCATCACAGAAGAGTGCTAAAGGGAACTAAAAACTTGAGGGCTCAAGCACAAGATGATGGCCAATCTGGGTTACAAACTATTTTAAACATATTTTAAAATTAGTAAAAGAGCCATCAGGCAAGGAAGGGACCAATAGTGGGGGTGGGGGAGAGGGGGTGGTGAATCTGTGCCAACACATTGTGAAACTAATGATTAACTTATTTTAAACTAATTTTTTATATTTTCCATCAAAAAGTAGCAAAAAAGATAAAGCTGCATTTTAAAATCCTGACCTCCAAAGATTAATACTCAAAATCAGCCCTGTGCACAGGGTCTAAGGGATGAGTTTTGGAAATCCAAGTGCATCCACTCTGCTTTATGGCAGTGTATTAACACAGCAGCTGATCAAGAAGTGTACAAGGTCCCTAACACCCTTTTAGAAGACTTAATAGCATAAATTCTTTTCTATTTAATATATTGTAAAATTGTTGATTCTCTTTTAGTCTATTTAAATACAGTGGTTGGTTTTTAGAAAGATATATCTTTGACCAGCTTGTACTGATCCTGAGTGTCACTGCTGGCACATTTCACCAATGACATTGCAATTGTCCTAGTTTGAGTTAACAAATCATTGTCACTTCATAATGGAATGGACAGAAATCAAAGACAGAAAAAGGTAATAAAGATGTCCAAAATGTAAAAATGGGGATAAAGAAAACAAAAAAGAAAAAAGAAGAAAGAGGATGTCAATAAAAGAATATTCATGTCAATAGAGCATTAATAGTTATGTTTTTCATAAGTAGATTCAAAGAAAGCAATGATAAGACATATGTTGACACCAACATGACAGGTCAATGGAAATACATTACATTTTCCAACAATAAAAGTGAAAAATGCCAATATAAAACAATTAAATTTAAACAAAATTATCTCTTGGGTTGAGTTAAGGAGCCTACCTCAAAGAAAACACAATTCAACTGTCAACTCAGAAAGCTTGATTTCAGGCAGAGAGATGGTGAATGACAAAGGATATGATAACCAGTATGCATGGAAACCAATCAGGAACAACTTCACCATGAATTTTGTTCACTTTACATTTTTTCGAGGTTTCTGGTTGTGTGTTTGTTTTATGTAACGTAATAGATTGTACCACATGAAATTGCTGGTATTAAGCCTTTAAAATATATACATATAAAATGGCAAGTTCAAATGAAATCAGCTTCATATAAAGCAACTTGATTCCACGCAACCAAAACAAAAAAGGCAAAATTCTGCTGGGCTAAAAGAAAAACATGTCCTAACCTAAATTTCCTTAATTTTTTTTTTTTTTTGTGGCAGATGTCAGAGTTGAATAAAAGAAAAGGGGGAGAAAGAAAGGAAGGAAAAAAAAAAACTAAGACTGGAAATGCTGTACCTTTGTTCCAGCTGCCTCATGGCTACAGTAATTTTATTGGTTTTTTCTTCTAGTCGGGCAATTATTTCATTTTTTTCTTGCAAACTATCTTCGGAACCCTATTTAGAAAAACATAAAAACTACAGTGGTTTTGATTTTTAACCCTGAATATTTGTAAGTTTTGTACACTGTTCTGCTATGGGACTGTTACTTTGAAATGAGCAGAGTTAATTTTATAGATTAAAATACTCCTATGACATTAAGCAGTAGTACTACCAGTCTTCATTTAAAATATAGTAAAGGAAAAGGAAACAGCCTTCAATGTTTTTGGAAGAAAACAGAATAAGCTCTTGTTACACTATTTTTCAAATTAAATTGTAAAGAGATTTTGGCAACTAGTCTACTTAACAAAAATGTCAACTTTGTAAGAAAATTCACAATCATTAGAGTAAACCATTTCAATCAAATCTTTCTCAGGATTATACTGTATAAAGAAGTTCACAAAGCTCGGCCTGTATGGTTCAGTGGTTGAGTGTTGACCTATGAACCAAGAGATCAGTTGTTTTTGATTTTTTGTCGGGGCACATGACAGGGTTATGGGCTCAATCTCCAGTGTGATTCTGTCTTCGCTGATGTTTTTTCTCTTTCTCTTTCTCTCTCTGTCTCCCCCCCACACCCCTTCCTTTCTGAATCAATCTACACTAATAAAAGAGAAAGATGCAAATTGACTGTACCTTAACAACACCCACCAGGCAATCAGGGGTGAGTATGCAAATTAACCCAACAAATAGGGCAGGTTGATTTGCATATATAGGTGATGAGCATCCAGGGGAGGGGCTGGATGCTTGCTTTCCGCACCACCCCAGCAGCTCTGGGCCTCTGGGCAGTGAGAGAAGGTGGAAAGGAGGCTATTTGTGAAGTGAATAGAACAAACGCACAGGCCCTGAGCAAAGGCAGTGCCGGCAGCCAGGGTCGAAGGAAGGCCCATTCTTACACAAATCCGTGCATTAGGCCTCTAGTAAAAAAAATGTTTTTTAAAGTTCACAAAAATGCCTTACATATTTGGACCGAGTTTTCCCAAAAGATTTAACCTTCATGCTTTCATGAAGCATGAAAAACAAATTCAGAATTAAAAAACAAATTCAGCCCGGCCCCCAGCTGGCTGGGAGCAGCCCCGTCATGCCCTCCGACCCCGGAGGACCTTCCAGCCAGTTTGCTGCCCACCGTGCCCACTGCCATTAAAGATGGTGTCAGATGAAAAAAATAAAAATAAATAAATAAAAAATTCAGAATTAAAAAACAAATTCAGATAGGTGAAGTTTTCGTTCTCTGATACTTTTTTCATTGCTACATTTCTTAAGCTTCCATTTAGAAATAAAACAAGCCTCATTGCTTTTTATAACCAGTATAGCACAGTTAAAATAGGCTCATCTCTTAAAAACCAAACCTTGTATACAAATATTCATTTTCAATTTATATAACAAGAAATTCCAAGAATTTAAAAACATTCCTTACCTGCATCTTTTGGTACATCTCTATGTTAATTGCTTTAACTTCCTCTAGTTGTTGTCTAAGGCCTATCAAAGTATCTTGTTTCTCATGGATATCTTTCTCCAACAATTTCATGGCAAGTTCGATCTCATGCTTCATACTAACTTGTACAGCCAACTCATTCTCCACATCCTATAATTGCAATATATCCTCAGTTTAGATGCCACTTCAGGATGTCAAAAGTCAGACACACAATAGTTAATGAGACCAAGGAAGAATTTCTATTCAGCCTGGCAAGACGGATCAGTTAGCTGGAGTGTCCTCCTGTGCACCAAAAAGGATTAGGGTTCAATCCTGTCAGGATGCATGTGGGAGGCAACTAATCCAACCTCTCCCACACCAATGTTTCTCTCTCCTCCCTCTCTCCCTCTCTCTGTCTCTGTCTCTCGTCTGTCTCTCCTTTCCTCTCTTTAAAATCAATTTAAAAAAAAAATCCTTGGGTGAGAATTTAAAAATACAAGTTTCTAGCCCTCAGCAGTTTAACTCCTTGGGTGAGGATATAAAAATAGAAGCTTCTAGCCCTCAGCAGTTTAACTCCTTGGGTGAGGATATAAAAATACAGGCTTCTAGCCCTCAGCAGTTTAACTCCTTGGGTGAGGATATAAAAATAGAAGCTTCTAGCCCTCAGCAGTTTAACTCCTTGGCTGAGGATATAAAAATACAAGCTTCTAGCCCTCAGCAGTCCCCGGGTTTGGCTCAGTGGACAGCGCTAACCCCGGGGACGGAAGGGTCTTGGTTCAGTTCTGGTCAAGGGCACATTCCTTGGATGCAGACTTGATCCCTGGCCCTCGTTGGAGCACATGCAGGAGGCAAACAGTCAATGTGTCTCTCTTACATTGATGTTTCTCTCTATCTCTCCCCCTCCACTCCACTCTCTCTAAAAATAAATTTTAAAATATTCTCACCAAAACCAGTCTGGCTCAGTGGATAGAGCGTCTGCCTGCAGACTGAAAGGTCCCAGGTTCGATTCTGGTCAAGGGCATGTACCTTGATTGCGGGCACATTCCCAGTAGTGTGTGTGCAGGAGGCAGCTGGTCAAAGTCTCTCTCTCATTAATGTTTCTATCTCTTTATCTCTCTCCCTTCCTCTCTGTAAAAAATCAATAAAATATATTAAAATAAAATATCCTCGAGTGAGGATTAATAACAAAAGTTTATATTCAATAGGTAAACTACTCCTTTTCACTTATAAGCTCCACTGAAGAGAATAAATCAGGCCCTATAACAACATTCTAAATATTTTCAAATGTTGCCCTGGCTTGGTTGCTCATTTGGTTAGAGTATCATTCTAATACACCAAGGTTGCAGATTCCATCACTGGTTAGGGCACATACAGGAAGCAACCAATGAATGCCTAGATAAAGTGGAACAACAAATTTATGTTTTTCTTTGTCTCTCTCTGCCCTTCTCTCTATAAATAATAAATATTTTGCTAAAATGAAAGAATTTCCAACACTCTGTCAATTATTACTGTTTTACTGGCTCATGAATATTTTTTGCCTCAAAATCTCAGTATTGACTTTCCTTAGACAGAAAAATGAAGTAGGCCATATAAGTGAAAGCCAAGATAACTCAATATTTTTGCTAAAAGAAGTTTACATCAAAAGGAAAAGATGTTTCCTAATATTAAAGACAAATTGCAAAAGGGATGAAGAAGTTGACAATATTCTCTTCTTGTCCTGGGAGGTAGTTATACAAGTATTTACATGCTAACCTATTAAGCTATTCATTTTTTTTTTCTGTAGGTGTTATATTTCTTAATTTAAAAAGGTAACACGTTAATTGTAAATATGATTCCACTAATATTTGAATACGACATTTTATTCTGTTTCCTTTTTGGTAGTGCTAGTCACAATCTATTTATTTCACAAACACAGACAGTAACAATTTAAAAACACTGTTTAAAAAACACAGATACAATGAGAACTTAAAGAATTTAATGGGAGCCGAACAGGTTTGGCTCAGTGGATAGAGCGTCAGCCTGCAGACTGAAAGGTCCCAGGTTCGATTCTGGTCAAGGGCATGTACCTTGGTTGTGGGCACATCCCAGTGGGGGATGTGCAGGAGGCAGCTGATCCATGTTTCTCTCTCATCGATGTTTCTAGCTTTCTATCCCACTCCCTTCTTCTCTGTAAAAAAAAAAATCAATAAAATATATTAAAAAAAAAAAAAAAAAGACGCCAAAACCGGTTTGGCTCAGCGGTAGAGCGTCAGTCTGCGGACTGAAGGGTCCCAGGTTCGATTCCGGTCAAGGGCATGTACATTGGTTGCGGGCACATCTCCGGTGGGGTGTGTGCAAGAGGCAGCTGGTCGATGTTTCTCTCTCATCGATGTTTCTAGCTCTCTATCTCTCTCCTTTCCTCTCTGTAAAAAAATCAATAAAATATATATATATATTTAAAAAAAGGAATTTGAGGGGATTAAGTGAATGAGGGGATTAAGTGAATAAGGCTGAAAGAGATTTTAAGTAGTGCTTGCTTAAAAATAAACAATCACAGTAATGGAACTGTTATTAATGACCTCATGTAACTCTAACGGATCATACCTGTCGCAACTGCGATTCGTCTCGAAGCTGCTTTCTGGCTTCATTGTACATTTCATCCAGCTCCTGCCGAGAATGCTTGTATGTTTGAAGCTCTGTTTCCACATCCACTTTGGTAACCTAGGAAGAAAGCTTTTTATTCTATAATCGCTATTATTAACACAGCACAGAAATATCCAATCTATACCAAAGTCCCAACAAGTAACAATTTCTGACACAAGACAGTCTGTTTGCAATCTGCCTATACTTACCTCTAAGTGCTGCTGTGTTTTCATTAAAATCAACTTATTCTCACTTCGTAATTGATGATTTTCTTCTTGAAGTTTAATGATATTATTCTTTGCTATTGCTAACTAAAAATTATGAAATAGGCAAGAAAAAAATTTAAACAGCTTTATTTATATTTGCTTTACAGGTTATGTTCAAGGCTATCAATAATAGAAAATAAAATGCTAAAGCTAGTAAAAATCTCACAGCTACAAAAAGTTACATAAAAAAATAGGCCCCCATTATCCCAAGATATCAATGAAATAAATTTACTAATTTCTACTATTTCCTTTTGTTAGTCGATATACATTATGTCAATCGAAACATACTATTATCTGGTTTACAATATGTCCTGAATATAAAGTGCCTAAGTAAGCATATAAAGAATTATGTGTTAAACAGCTAAACTGTAAAGACTTGTGTAAAGACAGAAATATCTGTAAGGAAAAAAAGTTTCACTATCATTAAAAATGACATTCATGATAAGCAAATAGGATATTCTGTGAAACATGGCACACTGAGTGAGCAGGGCCAATATGAGTCAGCTCTCATCAGAATTAAACAAGAATGGCTAAGAGGCTTGGCTGACGCCCAGAATAAAAAGAAGGATCCTAGGAAAGGGAAGCAGGGGCTACTCCACAACGTAGGCTCGCAAGTCAATTTCTGAATAATTTATCAGGGATACAACTTGAACTTCATAGTGTGCCTAAGGCCAACAAGAGGCACGAACCAATGAGCAGTCTTTGATGATCCCAAACTATCAAAACAAAGATGCATTCTTAACTGCAGACAAGCAAACAACCACATGTTCCCAGGTTTGAAAAAACTGGGCAAGTTTTAAAAGAAATAATTTTAATTAACATGGAAAATAGCACTAATAGAATAACAGATTTCTTCCTCTATACAAAATAATTCTGAAAATATAAAGTAATACATCTATGGTTTGATAGATATTTTTTCAAGTTATATAAAAATAGTATAAAAAAAGAGCTAAAATTCTGGTTCTTGGACCATCAGATAGCCACTTTGAAAATGCAGAAAACTGGAGCACGTGGGATAAATTTTACACATGAGAGGGCTGAGAAATGGTGAATATGATCATGCTTGAAAAGAAAAGTAATCTGACTTGTGGAACAAGAGGAAGAGTATCATTTTAGCAGGTAATTTAACTATAGGTGAAATATTCTAATGTCCCAGAACTATTTTCTAGTTAGGAAAACAATGAAATGTTTTTCATACATAAGAAATATGCACCATCTAATTTCAGGTCATCCAGATTTAAAATGAGAAGCACAGCTTATTTACAGAAGAGTATGTCTGAGTTTTATCTTTGAAGCTCATTTTTAGAAGTTGAGTATCTCGAAACAATTCAGATTCACCTGAGATATGTGGTTTCTCTCAAACGTCTCAATCACAACTATATTACAAGGACTGCATCATCCTAATGACAATGTGTATGTGCTTCACACACTCATACTGAAAATGAAAAAGCATCACAAATACTAGGACTGTGATGACAATACCTCTTCAATCAGCTTAGTATTTGACTTTTCCAATGAATCAACTCTTGAATGGAGACTGCTGACTGTGCTGCTGAAATTAATGAAGAAAAAACTCATTCAAACTCACTCACGAAGGCAAGAAAAAGTATGTTATTCTGGATTCTCTATGTTAAACGACATTCACCAACTGCCCTGTCTGAATATTTTAGTGTGAGAATTTCATTAAGTCAGAATAACTTGATTTAACTAGAACAATACAGACTGTAGCAAAAGAACCAATATTTCTATTAAAATTTCATTTGATACTGCTCATTATTTTTTGTCTTTTTAGGGTCCCTTTTACCTGTAACTTATACTATTTAGGAATAGAAATTCCACATAAAGATAACTAAATATTATTAAAACTAAATTTAAAATTATTTTTAAAGGATAAACTTTAATGATGCTTATAAACAGTATTCATCAACAGAAACCCCATTCTATTACCTCTCTCCACTTTCATAATAACTTAAAGACCTTCAAAATCACCATTTTTGAGAAATGCAAATATGAGATACCTACTATCAGGTACCCAGTCAGCCTGAAGCTAAGGAAACATTTGTCTTTGAAGGATACAGTAAAAAATCAGGTTCCACTACATGAAAAAACTTATTTATATTCCTGTTTAAATCAATCAAGACTGGGCATTATTATACATTTTACTGAGTCTAATTTTTAAGTCCTGTTTGATTTTACCATTTCAAACTTTCTCTGATACAATGTAATATGCTATATATAATACATTATAGTAGAAATCTACAATAGATTCAAAAAATTTATAACAGCCTCAGAAACAACTATGGGCATTTTAAGCTTAGATGTGAAACAAGAAAAATGTTTTTCTATTTATATTAAACTAGAGCCTAGTGCATGAATTTGGGGGCAGTGTGAAGCATGGCGGTGTCAGTGACATGGCACTGACAGCAGGCAACAAGAGCGGGACCACAGCGGGATGGTGGAGGTGGTGAGCAGGCGGCACCAGGCCAAGGCAGGTGAGGTGCAAGCAGGGACCGATCGCCCCACCAACCGCCCTGCATACGGTGACCAGTGGCCACGGCAGGAGGCAGGGCGCTGCCCAGCTCCCAGATGCTGAGGGAGCCGGGTGGGGGCCTGGCCCATTCGATCCCCCACAGGAGCGATGGTGGAGCAGGTGAGGCAGGTGCCAGGCGGGGCTGTGAGGCTAGGGGCACGAGCTGGCGCTCAATCCCTGCAGGCCATCCTGAGGGACTCCACCCATGCACCAGTTTGTGCACCAGGCTTCTAGTGAAAAAATAATCAAAGCACTTATAAAAACAGTAAATTCTCAATAGTGGCTTTTATTCTCTTTCCCCCCCTTTTTATTAAAGTATTATATGTGTACATTTCTTACCATTGTGTATCTCCCCCTCAAATAGTGACTTTTAGTGAGAGGTAATTCTACTTTTTAAAAATCTGTTTCTATACTTTTGAAATATTCTAAAAGTACCAGAACTATTTTCTAATTAGAAAAACAATGAAATGTTTTTAATATATAAAAACATACAAAAGTATGGCATTAGGATTGTGGTATCTGATTAACACACACATAATTTAATAACTGAGACAGCTCATTTGAACCAAATGGAATAGATTCTACCATAAGTTATTGAGTAAAAACAAAGTACAGAATAACCAAAAAAGTATGCTACCTCATGTGTAAAGAACTGGGGGAAGGTGAGAAGTTTTAAGAAAATATATGCAGGCTCTGGCCAGGTGTTCAGTTTGGTGTCATCCCAATACCCCAAGGCTGCAGTTTCAATCTCCAGTTGGGGCACATACAAGAAGTTTAAATAAGTGGAGTAACAAATCAATGTTTCCTCCCTCTCCCTCTCCCCCCCTCCCCATTCCTCCCTCCCTCCCTCCCTCCCTCCCTCCCTCTCTCTCTCTCTCCCTTCCTCCCCCCAAATCCTCACCCTTCCTCTCTAAAATCATTTTTTAAAATATATTTTATTGATTTTTTACAGAGAGGAAGAGAGAGAGAGTTAGAAACATCGATGAGAGATTTTCTCTGTCTTCTCAACCCCTTCTCAAACATGTGAAGAGGGAATAGGGTTAAGCTGCCCTGCAAAGAGGGGGACCCTAAGACAATAGCCATAAATGCACTAAGTATTCCAAGTTTCCATAACACTTACTTCAGTTGTCTATTTAATTCTTCAACATAATTCTTCTGGTCTAATATGGCAGCAATTTGAACATTCCTAGAGGGGAGAAAAGTAGTTTTGTGCTCAATGGAGAGGTGTTTATTGGATGCCAAAAATAATGTCTATATCATCTAAAATTGTTGTAAAGTCATAATGGTAAAACATTATTTTGCCTTTAAAGTAAAATTCAAGAAACTTCAAAATTATGTAGCAGTAAACTGTGTACTAAATAACTATAATCTTTATTAAATAAACTACTTACTAACACTAGATTTAACAGTACCATTAGTATATTTTTAAAATTTTTGCATCAGTATGATTTATTTTTTATTGAAATATATTGACATATAACAGTGTAAATTTAAGGCATACAACAGGTTCGATACATTTACATATTATAACTGCCATAGCAATTATTAGCACCTCTATTATATTACATAATTATCCTTCCTTTTCAGTAGTTGGAAAACTGAATAAACAATTACTATTTATTATTATTACAATGTACAAATAAATAAAACAATTTAAACAAACACACACAATTAGCTCTTGAAATAAACCAGCATATGTAAGCTTGTGAGTAAGCTTTCATCCCTTTTATCACAAAACATAACTATTAAAATGGGTCTATTAACTATTAACGTGTAAAACAGAAGTTACACATCATTCTAAAGCCTCCTTCCAAGTGGTCTTTGCTTTATAAAGATGGGAGTGAAAACTAAACAAAGCAAGAAATCCACACAAATAAAGGAAATAAAAACCACATGGTAAATAGATGAACCTCATACTGATTTATAAAGAGCCACATAAAAAATACATGTGAAGTAACGTATGGAAATCGTACCTTTCTTTATTTCCAATATCATCTTCATTCTTTAAATACATGGAAAAATCAATCACTCCAACCTGAATTTATAAATAAAGTTATTTAAAGGGGAGAAATATCAGATGGATCCATAACATACAAATAAATTTCATTCTTAATTTTCCTTTACTGTTTAACAGCACTGTTTGCAACTGACGGAGTAAGACCTGGCTGAGAGAGGAGCCGTGCAAACTGCAAACACTGCATTTGGTGCTAGTCACTTTACTTACTTGTGAGTCTAAATCCTCTCCCTTCACACACAGATTAGCATCTATCACATTCAGGCCAACCAGCAGCCCAACAATTACTGTTCCTTCTTCTTCCATCATCAGTGCGTGATATTCATAGAATTCACTGTGAAAATTAAAATAATAAAAAAATGATTCTCTCGCATTATTGATGTTTCTATCTCTCCCCCTTCCTCTCTGAAATCAATAAAAATATTTTTTTATAACTAATATTTGACGAAGTATATTCAGAGAACTAGTTATCACTGTCTCATGCTTCCCTCAAGAAGTCCAATGTAGCCCTGGCTGGTGTGGCTCACTTGGTTGGAGCATCATCCATGCTCTGTACCAAAAGGGAGCAGGTTCGATTCCTGACTGCAGGTTTGATCCCTGGTTGGGGCACTTGGGAAAGACAACCAATCAATGTCTGTCTGTCTGTCTGTCTCTCTCCCCTGACCCCATTCTAAAATCAATTTTTTAAAATATTTTTTTTAAATCCCATGTATAGTATAATATTTAATCACTTCAGAATATTATTGAGAAATTGCAGGTGCTTAAAATATAGTCATCCTCATTTACAAAATGGGTAAACGAAGAGGAACTGGAGTCACAAGTAAAACAAAAATGACAAATTCTCCAGAACATCAGACAGGCACTCTAGAAGAACAAGGGAGAAGTGAGGGGTACCATGGGCCCCACTCCCTTTAAGAACTCATTGTCTTACTCTGAAAGTCTGTCCTAAGCACTTGGCTTTCAATTTAAACTCACAGTTTAAAGAAAGCCCACAATACAGTTGAAGCAGTAGTTGGATATTCAAGATCTAAAAAAAGACCCCTTGAATTAAAGCCCCAAACTTCACATATATTTTTATTCATAAAATTAACTAATTTAGAAAAAATATGTGTATTAGACTTTAAAAAAGGAAACTGACTGAGAAATATAAAATATAAATTTTTTCCTTATCATTTTTTTAGGGTAGTTCCTAATCAATGTTACACTTCCTCCATGATTTTCTCACTCATTTCGCACCTCCCTTTGTTTTATGCCATCTTATCGTATTTTACGAGTCCTTTTTCACATCTTTAATGATTTTGGGGAGACAGAATGTCAATGAAATAAAAAATGAAAGTGAACATGATGTAATGGTACTAACCTCAAGAGATCCCTTTGAATAATTAAGCAACGAAGGTAATCGGCCATTTTTTTCTGCATGAGGGCTAGACGAAGCCATGCTCGTGCCCGACCCAGGGGGGTCCTGAAAAGTAAACCAACGGGTAAGAAAGCAGTCCCAGCCCAAGAGCACAAACCACACGTCCTACCTCTGCCGAGGTACAATTTTTAAAAAGGCAATTTATCATAGTTTTGTCTTTGTTTCTATAGTTTTAACTAGTTTCTTTGAGCATGCAAACCAATCCCTGTGCGCTATTTAAATCTCTTAAGGTAAGTTTGCACCTGCAGGACATCTAGGAACCGTTTAAAGCACATGTGTCAAACACAAGGCCCGCGGGCCAAATCCGTCCCGCCAGGCCTTGCAATGTGGCCCGCACCGCGCTGTCATCACTGCACTCCGTTGCGTTTCCATCACAATGACAGTTTATGACTGTTCAGTAAACTATTCGGCTCGCGATTTAGGCTGGATTTTAGATTTTGGCCCCTTCTCTGATTGAGTTCGACACCCCTAGTTTAAAGCCTTGAGAGAGGAGATCCAAGATGGCTGCGCCCAGGTGAACACCTAGCTGCAGCCGCACACAACAATTTCAATAAAATACAACTAAAATATAAAACGGACATTGCCCAGAATTACAGGAAGGTTGACTGACTGGAAATTCTACAGCAAGAAGCAAGGAGAAAACCAGAAGGAGGCGCGGAGGAGCTGGAAAAGCCCAAGGTACGGAGAAGCAGCGCGCAGAGAGGACGGAGCCGAAGAGGAGGGGGAGGCGCAGTGCCTGGCGGGCGTTCCCTAGCAGAAAGGAGATAAAACTCCGACTGTGCTGGGCCCCGGACTGCTCTGAACCCCAGTTCTAGGCCAGACCCCGGGGACTCAGGCTCAGCCATAGGGAGCCGGACTGTAAGGCGGAACCCCGGGGAAGCGGCGAAAGGAGGTCCCGGAGGCGCGCACACTGCGCGCAGAGAAGGGACGGTCGGCTGTGCCGCGGGATTGCCCTGATGGGAAGGAGACTGGGGCTCCAGACTGCTCTGAACGCCACCTCCAACTCCACTTCCAACTGAACTGAACCCCAATACCGGGCTCATTGTGGGAGAGCATAGACAGTTTGGAAGCGGGCGAAAATCGAGGGCACCTTTCTCTGAGGTGCCAGCAGCGAGCACTGAAGGACCCGCATAGGGCGGGGCTGACGGAAGCCAAAGCTGCAGGCTCCACCCTGAAACCCCGTCCCATCTGTAACTGCAAAATGCGAAAACAAAAAAGATCACAAACGAAAGAAATGGAGGACAAAAAGCGTCTGGATATAGAGTTCAAATCTACGCTTATAAGGTTTTTCAAGAATTTCCTAGAAAAGATGGATAAGACCTATGAGGACATGAAAAGAGATCAACTAGAATTAATAAGGAGTCAACAAGAAATGATAAGGGATCAACAAGAAATGATAAGGGATCAACAAGAAATAAAGAATACATTGTCTGACATAAAAAATATTTTACCGAGTCCTAAAAACAGAAGGGAAGATCGCAAGAATCAAGTCAAAGATTTGGAACATAAAGAGCCAGAAGACACTCCTCCACAGAAGCTAGAAGGCAAGAGAATCCAGAAAATTGAAGATAATGTAAGAAACCTCTGGGACAACTTCAAGCGAACCAACATCAGAATTATGGGGGTCCCAGAAGATGAGAAAGAGCAAGATGTGGAAAACATACTGAAAGAAATAGTGACAGAAAACTTCCCCCACCTAGTGAAAGAATTAGACTTACAAGTCCAGGAAGCGCACAGAACTCCAAGCAAAAGGAACCCAAAGAGGACCACACCGAGACACATCATTATTAAAATTCCAAGAGCAAAAGACAAAGAGAGAATATTAAAAGAAGCAAGAGCAAAGAAGGTAGTAACCTATAAAGGAGCACCTATACGATTGTCAGCTGACTTCTCAACAGAAACCATGCAGGCCAGAAGGGAATGGCAAGGTGATGAATAGCAAGAACCTACAGCCAAAAATAATCTACCCAGCAAAGCTATCACTCAGAATCGAAAGCCAGATAAAGAGCTTCACTAATAAAAAAAAGCTAAAGGAGTTCATCACCGCCAAACCAGAATTATATGAATTGCTGAAGGGGGTTCTTTCAGAAGAGAAAGTAAACAAAGATAAAAATTATGAAGAACAAATATGTAACTATCAACAAGTGAATCTAAAAACCAAGGAAATTAAAAAAATCTGATGAACAATATTAACTGTTGAATATAATAGAATCAGGGGTTATGGAAGGGGAGTGAACTGATGATTCATGGGGAAAAGGGGAGAGGGGGATGTGGGAAGAGACTGAACATAAACTGTGCACCTATGGATGAGGACAATGGGGGGTGGGGAAAGGGCAGAGGGTGGGGTGGGAACCTATTGGAGGAGAGCAATGGTAGGGGGGGGGGAAGGGAACATTTGTAATAATATGAACAATAAAAACTTATTAAAAAAAATAAAATAAAATAAAAAAAATAAAGCCTTGAGAGAAATGACTCTAAAAAGTGAGACTATTTCTACAAGAAATGCTTTGTCAGATGGGTTTAGCCTTCCATAAAATGATTATGCAAAATACATCAATAGGGCAGTACAATGCCTTCAAACAATAATTAATACTATATCCAAATGTAAAATATCATAACAGCTCTGACTGGTATGACTCCAATGCACCAAGAAGTCACTGGTTCAATTCCGTGTCAGGGTATATGCTCGGGGTTGCAGGCTTGATCTCCAGTGGGGGTGTGCAGGAGACAGCCCATCTATGTTTCTCTTTCTCATCAATCTTTTTCTCTCTCTTCCCCTCTCTCCTTTCCCCTTCCTCCTCCTAAAATCAATAAAAACATCTTTTTTTAAAAAAAGCATAACAAAGCTAAGGTGCCACACTAGTAATTAGAGAGAAAAAACCAGGCTTCTTCATTTTTCAAATGTTTCTTTTATTCAATTGTCCTTAAATATTAAATCTCAGACCTCTCTTATCCAAGTCCTATCATTTATAAAGATTAAGAAGCAGCCCTAGCCAGTCTGGCTCAGCAGACAGAAGGGAACCAGCTTATGCTCCAGTCAGGGGCACACGCCCGAGGAGTGGGCTCGATCCCCAGGAGGGGGTGTGCAGGAGGCAGCCAATCAATGATTCACTCTCATCACTGATGTTTCTATATTTCTCTCCCTCTCCCTTCCTCTCTGAGATCAATACAAATATATTAAGGGGGGGGGGGAGGGAGAAAAAAAAACATCAAGGGTCACTATGCTGTACACCTGAAACTAATCATGACAAGTGTAAGACCTTTGCCTTAATACTTTATGACTATAAAAACTTCAACACTCTGCCAAGACCGGTTTGGCTCAGTGAATAGAGCGTCGGCCTGCGGACTGAAAGGTCCCAGGTTCGATTCCGGTCACGGGCATGTACTTTGGTTGCAGGCACATCCCCAGAGGGTGTGTGCAAGAGGCAGCTATCGATGATTCTCTCTCATTGATGTTTCTAACTCTCTATCCCTCTCTCTTCCTCTCTGTAAAAAATCAATAAAATACATATGTTTTTAAAATTTCAACACTCTTGATTTATTAGCTAGAATATTCAGCTTTTAGGACATTTCATATACATTTGTCCAGTGAAACAGGCAGGGGGCCCCATAAGTCCTAATTTCTGAGAAAGAAAGTAATTTGTACATGTCTTATCCATAATAATAAAAGCATAATATGCTAATGAGACCAGAGGTCCTTCCGGACAACCTTCCGGACAACGCCACAGCAGCTGGGGCAGAGGCAGCTGCCACCGTGGCAGGGGCCGAGCCCTTTGCATGAATTTCATGCATCAGGCCTCAAATGGCTTATCTGAGAACTCAAAACCTCCTGAGCCTTTGCTTGGATTTAACCTAATCAGTCTCCAACAGTTACTGTTACTGACTGACTGCCTATTACTGCAAAATAGTTTAACATTCAGGAAACAGAAACGCATAATTGATACATCGTACCTTAAAAGGACTTGCAACTTCCTGCATTACAATGCTGAATTAAAATTCTATATCATAAAAAAGTAATATGCAAATTGACCAGACAGAACAATCAGTCGCTGTGACGTGCACTGACCACCAGGGGGCAGACGTACAATGCAGGAGCTACCCCCAGCCTGCAGGGACTGTATCTGTACACAAATTCTATGCACTGGGCCTCTAGTGGGTGATATAATAAGGAATGACCATAGTGATAAGAGTATTTTAAAAAGCAGTAAATTCTTACTGACAGGACTAATAAAAACCATAAAAGAAATGAAATCTAAGATAACCCATAAAGATTGAACAGAATTTATTAGGAGAGAATGGAAGAAAGCTATTTAAGGCTGAGAGAAGACAAATTAGAATGTAAGGGACTTTTACGGAACAGTAAGTATACTTCTGTGGCTCTGGCTAGTTTGGCTCAGTGGACAGAGTGTCAGCCTGCGGACTGAAGGGTCCAGGTTCGATTCTAGTCAGGGGCACATGCCCGGGTTGCGGGGCTTGGTCCCCCATGGGGGGAATGCAGGAGGCAGCCAACCGGTGATTCTCTCTCATCATTAATGTTTCTACCTCTCTCTTTCCCTCTCCCTCTCTGTGAAATCAATAAAAATATTAAAATACACACACACACACACACACTTCTGTGGTTAGAAATGAACACGTAATAAGATTACTTACTTAAGACCAGGTAAATCCCGGACACTGGCCCCTATTTCTTCTGCTTCTGGGTATAGCTTCTCCACCAGTTCCAAAGGACCCCAGATAGTTTTATTATAACTCAAAAATGATTTTCTTACTGAAAAAAAGAAATATGATGAATATGACTTCAACATATGTATATAACTGTGTGAACTTCCTTTTATTGTTTAAGTATATATATATATATATTTTTTTTTAATATATTTTATTGATTTTACACAGAGAGGAATTGAGAGGGACAGAGAGTTAGAAACGTCGATGAGAGAGAAACATCGACCAGCTTGACCAGAATCAAACCCGGGACCTTTCAGTCCATAGGCCGACGCTCTATCCACTGAGCCAAACTGGTCCCAGCTATTTTTTAAAATATATTTTTATTGATTTCAGAGAGGAAGGGAGAGGGAGAGAGAGAGAGAAACATCAATGATGAGCGAGAATCATTGTTTGGCTGCCTCCTGCATGCCCCCCACGGGGCATATGCCCTGACCGAGAATTGAACCGCAACCTCTTGGTTCCTGGGTGAAGCTCAACTGTCGAGCTACACCGGCTGGGAACGAGCTTCCTTTTAAATATTTACTAGCAACATATCTAACAAGATACAATTATTCAGAGGCCTTTCCTTTTATCCCCACACAGCCGTGCGGATCAAGAAGAGCCAGTTAACCAGGATCCTGAAATCTGTCCTTATCAGAAATATGCAGGCAATTAGTTAAAAAAAAAAATACCATAATAAGGGCACGTTCTTTATCAGTGCCAAAATAAAGGTTGATCTTTATCAGTTTATTAAGTAAACCAAGGACAAATAAAAAGTCACTTTACTTTTAAACAAAAGTGGCTTTACTTTTTCTTTCTTCTTCTTCTGAGATTTGGGTAAAACCATGAAATCACTATCCATTTCTTTCTCAAGACTGCCCAGCTCTCCTGCAGATCCCATGTGCCTATAATATGCACCAGCCGTGGACAATCACCAAGATAAGCAACTTTTCCTTGGGGGAGAAAAATCGGCCCAAAGTAGTTTTAAAATGATTCCCACTTCGATTCCGGTCAAGGGCATGTACCTTGGTTGCGGGCACATCCCCAGTAGGGGGTGTGTAAGAGGCAGCTGATCGATGACTCTCTCTCATCGATGTTTCTAACTCTCTATCCCTCTCTCTTCCTCTCTGTAAAAAATCAATAAAATATATTTTTTTAAAATAATAAAATAAAATGATTCCCTAATATAAGTCTATGATTGCTAGGGCATGCCTCCTATTATTCTTTGAAATAAAGGAAAATAAATTCAGAAAAGAGTTTAATTTTAGAGAGAGGAAGAGAGAGGGAGATAGAAACATCAATGATGAGAATCACTGACCCGCTGCCCCCTGCACCCTCCTGGAGATAATGCCCATAACCCAGGTACATGCCCTTGACCAGAATGAAATGTGGGACCCTTCAGTCTCTAGGCCAACCCTCTATCCACTGAGCCAAACCAGCTAAGACGCTCATTTATTTTTTAAAGTAAGATTTATTGATTTTAGAGAGTGGAGAAGAGATGGGAGGTGGAGGGGAAAAGGGAGGGAAGGGAGGGAGGGGGGGAGGAAGAGAGAGAGAATAATGCCTCCTGCATGCCCCCTGCTGGGGTTCAAGCCCCAGCAACCTGGATACCCTGACATGTGTCCTGATTGGAAATCGAACCAGGGACCTCTAGGTATACGGGTTGATGCTCAAACATTGAGTCACAGTGGCTGAGCTACTCATTTCTTTACTACGTCCTTTATTTGTGCTTTGTTACTTTTCTAGTTTCTTTAGGTATAAGGTATATTTTTAAACTGAGATTTACTTATTAGCTTTGCCTACAGAGCTATAAATTTTTTAGAACTGCTTTGGCTGTGTCCTCTAGATATGGGGTCCTTGCCTTTTCATTTTCATTTGCCTTAAGGTACCTTTTAATTTCTTCCCTTGTTCTCTTCGTTAACCCTTCTTTGTTTAGCCTTCATGTGTTCGTGGTTTTCAGGGTTTTTTCTTGTTGCTGATTTCTACTTTTATCTCATTGTCATTTGTGAACATTCTTTTTTTTTTTTTTAATATATTTTATTGATTTTTTTCACAGAGAGGAAGAGAGAGGGATAGAGAGTGAGAAACATCAATGAGAGAGAAACATCGATCAGCTGCCTCCTGCACATTCCCTACTGGGGATGTGCCCGAAACCAAGGTACATGCCCTTGACCGGAATCGAACCCGGGACCTTTCAATCCGCAGGCCAACGCTCTATCCACTGAGCCAAACCGGTTTTGGCCATTTGTGAACATTCTTAATATGACTTCAAATACCAAATCATTATGTTGTATACCTGAGATTAATATAATGTTACTTGTCAATTTTATCTCAATAAAAATAAATTTTAAAAATTTTTAAAGAAAAAGAAATGAGTACAATAATAATATCACAGGGTTTCTCAAATTTTGGTGCCAAGACTCCTCAGTTTATTAAAACCATGTTTAGATAAATATCCTCTTCTGCTTTTTAAATTAACCCACACTTTCATGCACCATAGTCAGAACTCCTAAGCCATCCTAACCTACTTAGGCTCCAAGTACAAACAAAAAACCAAGCTTCTTTTCCTTTATAATAGTCACCTTAATATAACTTATATAGCCCTCTACACAGATGCTGATAATATGAGTTAAAAACCTAAACTGCCAACCACTGTTATTAGAAGTGCGGGAAGCCACCGCTTGCCAATATTGTCAATGCACCAACGAGCTCAGAAGGCCTACGGACCTGGGGCTTTAGCAGGGCTGATAAGCACCTCATCTGTAGAGATAGTGGTGGCTTGAGGCAATTTCCTAACCTGATAATCCTCTTACTATTTACCAAGCTTTAGATATCCCTGTATCATTGCTAAAGGGCAAATGTGTAGTCCCGTAAGAAAACGGCAGGTCGGGCCAGAAGTAGGTGTGTGTTCAGAAAGAGGCTCCACCTGGCCCCCAATGCCTTCTAAACCCCTATTTCTAGCACAGTATTTGCATTTGTGTGTTGGCCCCTCCTTCAGGTCCTGAACCCTGCCACAAAGGCTGTGGCAAATTAGTAGTTATTTTAGGTAAAAGAAGAGTTACTACACAACATATGTAAAATAACTAAATATAATACAAATATTTTACACACATTATTCAATATGAAATGTATAGAATAATATTCACTATTATTACTGTTTTCAGGGAGTACTCATATTTCTACAACAATCCAATCCAGAAGACATGCTCCCATGCACTAAGGAGGTTTAGATTTCAACCAACTATTTTATTTTATATATTTTTTATTGATTTCAGAGAGGAAAGGAGAGGGAGAGTTAGAAACATCAATGAGCAAAGAGAAGCTTTAATCAGCCGTCTCCTGCAAGCCCCCCATAGGGATCAAGCACACAGCCTGGGCATGTGCCCTGACTGGGAATTGAACCGTGACCTCCTGGTTCACAGGTCGATGCTCAACCACTGGGCCATGCCAGCAGGGCTCAACAATCAACTATTTCTATGTATTTGTTCAATGGGGCTCAAACTAATTAGAATTCATATCGGAATCACCAAATTTAATGGCTTTTAAATAATTACATAAATGTCCTAGTAGATGGAAACCAACTCAGGGTATGTTGAAAATTTTAAAAATTAAATATCATTTTCTAAGACCACCCATTTCAAAACAAAACAGTAGGACATTTTCTCCCAAAACCAACCCACCAAGTATTTTAAAATATAAAGTAACAGTTATTATGGCCTCAAACCACCACATTTCTAAGGATGTTTAAGATTGGGGTGGGGGAGGGGGGGATGATCTTAAAGTGAATTAATTTTAAAAATGATACCTTTAAGACCGTGTTTCAGACAATGTTCCATAACAACAAAGAACTGCTGCAAGGGGGGGTAGTCAGAATCCAAAGTGCGGCCGAAGCTGAGAGCAGATTCAATGAGTCCTTTGATACTCAGTTTAGCCATGTTTAACAAGTTTGCTCTCTCTACAGCTGTGGGGTCTTTTGTAGCTGAAAGCACAAGAAAGGAGTCCAACTTCATTCGCAAGACATGACATTGAACAATATACCAGTACAAACCCTTTCCTTCCCCTCTAAAACCAACAGTTGGCTTGCATTTCCTCGTCCGACAAATTACTTTTCCTAACTAATCTACAACTTCTCTTTACGTCTCTCACATCCACTATAGAACTCTATCATGCCCACCCCCAAGTTCATGAATTCTCCCCACGATCCTGCAAACCGGCTGGTCCCTGGCATTGGTTCTACTTTTATGGAACCCCTTTCCAGGGAGAAGGAGGTTTTTTGGGGTGTGTGTGTTTTTTCATGAATTTCTGTAGAGACAAGTTTAGACGAATAGACAACATGTTTAAGGGTCTCATGCAAAAGGTGGCTAGCAAGAACCATCCAAAAATGAATTCCAAGGCAAAAATATACAATGATATTGGCCACAAAATAAAAGGTAGTTAAAATTCTAAGATTCCAGTCTTACGCGTAACATCATGACAAGTAAAAACACACTGACAAAATAAGCGGGTACAGGGGAAGCCATTCAATGTCCACTCATTTTAACTATCTTGTTTTTTCATCTCAACTCTCGGCCTATGTTGCATGACTACTCCCTGTGACCAGAGGAAATAAAAACAGGGTCCAACTTCACAGGAAGGTTCTTCCACGCAGCTGATTCAGGTGAAGAACAAGTTTAACAGATACATTTCAAACAACCCATCTCAATGGACTTTTTTTTTAATATATATATTTTTATTGATTTTTTACAGAGAGGAAGGGAGAGAGAGAGACCTAGAAACGTCGATGAGAGAGAAACACCGACCAGCTGCCTCTTGCACACCCTCCACCGCGGATGTGCCCGCAAGCAAGGTTCGATTCCTTGACAGATTCCTTGACCGGAATCGAACCTGGGACCTTTCAGTCCGCAGGCCGACGCTCTACCACTGAGCCAAACCGGTTTCAGCCAATGGACATTTTTAGTTGACAAAAAGATATCTTTTCTTTCCCGCAAACTGTATTCGCAGTTTGCTCAGACATTCAGATGCTACCCCATACTCCCATCACTGCTGTATACCTTAAATTAACATAATGGGCAGGAGTACCGTCAGCACACACAGATGACAAGACGAGGTGCAGAAAAACAAAGCACTTAGTAAAGGTTCCATCCTCTAACAAGTTCCCTGCCCCAAGTGCCTGCTTTTCCTCCCTGAACAAGAAGTCCGGGGTCCCAGGGACCCACCATCCCGGCTCTGACCTCAGGCGGCCCTTGTTGGGCACGAAACGCAAACAGCCACACCTGCTCCGATCCCGCGCGCGGGTGGGAAATTTCCACCGTCATTTCTTCAGTGGGCTCAGCGCTGGGACTCCGTCTGGGTGTTTCATAATCTATGGAAATTCTCCATTTTCCTGAACAGCCCGCTGCGGCGAGCGGACAAAGGGCGCCTCCGCCGCTGCGGGAGGCAGGTCGGTGCAGAGAGGAGCGGTCCCCCCGGGCCGCGCCCCAACCCGGCTCGCGGACGTGGCCCCCAGGCCGCGCTCAGGGCCGGTCCCCGCATCCGGCCGGGGCCTGGAGCCCCCGCCCCGCCTCCCCATCTCCCCGCACAAGGCTGTCCAAAGGCTCCGGGGGCCCAGGACCCCCGCGAAGGGGTCACACAGGCACTGCGGCCGCCGCTGTCTCCCCCTCCCACTCTCCCACCCCGGCCAAACCTGAGCCCCGCCATCCCTCCGCCACCCCAAACCCGGGGGTCTTCGCTCGACCCCAACGATCCCCCGACCCGGCCGCGGCACCCGCAGGCCCTGTCCACGCGCACCAGCGCGGGGACCGGAGGACCCGGGCAGCCGCGCGTTGCCATGCTGACCCCGGGCGCCCCCGAGTCCCCGGCTGCCCCCGCCCGGGCCCGGCTCCGGCCCCCGCTCCGACCCGGAGCCTCGGCGCCCACCACCTCCAGTCCCCCCGGCCGGGCGCGGCCTCCAGCCCAGGACACGGGACCCAGGGCCGCTCCCCTTACCCATGGCGGCGGCGGCGGCGGCGGCGGCGCGCTCCCGGGCGGGGACTGCCGGGGCCCCCGCGGCTCCCTTCGGACGCGCGGCGGCCGCCACGGCGTCAGCACCCGGCCTGGCGGCCCACAGCGCTCCCGGCGGCCGGAGGGCGCGCGCCTGCGGCCGCAGCGGAAAAGCCGCCTGCGCGGACCCCCGGCCCAGCGGCGCCGGAAGCGGGAGACCGGGCGCGGAGGGCCGGGGTTGGGAGCCGGAAGCGGGAGACGGGCGCCGAGGGCCGGGGTCTGGGAGCCGGAAGCGGGAGACGGGCGCCGAGGGCCGGGGTCTGGGAGCCGGAAGCGGGAGACGGGGAGCGGAGGGCCGGGGTCTGGGCGCCGGAGGGCGGCTCCCGGTCGCGCCGCGGGAGGGCGTCCCCGGGGAGGCGGCGCGTGCGCGCTCTCAGCCCCGGGGTGGGGGGCGGGGCCTCCCGGTCCTCTCCGCAGGCTCCGGGAGCGGAGGATTTAGGGAACCGGAAGCGGTGAGCCCCCGGCGGAAACTGCCGGCCACACCGGTACCTCCCGCTTGTGGACCGCAGGGAGGACGCCGGCCTGGGGGGCCACTGCGCAGATGGTGTGATGTCTGACCACTGGGCTGTCCGCCTGACGCTGAGATGATGCTAGAGTCAACTGTAACTGACAGATCTTTAAATGACGGAAAAAGCGAGGACGAACCATTGTACTAATCAAAGGAAACCGGGGTCGGGGTAAAGCCAGCGTCTCCTCATTTGAGGGAGAGGGGAAAACCTCACGTCAGATGGCCGTGTTTAAGCTGGGAAAGGTGGGCTATTAGACCAGCAGTTGCTAGAAATAGAAAAAGAGATATTTCGTGAAAATCGGGCGACATATTCTCATCACTTTGGCCATTATCAAGTCCTATGATGCCTCTTTACTGCTCTCGGTTTTTAACTTTATTTATTGTGAGTTGGTCATACATGGATAAAATGTATAAAAGAATCACCATAAAATGATCAGCTGGGTAACCACTGCCAGATTGAGTGAGCATCTTCCCTGGGAAAAGCCACCAGGCACCCCTCACTCACAGTCCCCCTCCGGAGGTAAATACTATCCTGACTTTTAAAAGAATCATTTTCTTGCTTTTCTTTTCTTTTTAATATATTTTATTGATTTCAGAGACAAAGGGAGAAGGAAAGAGAAACATCAGTGATGAGAGAGAATCATTGGCTGCCTCCTGCACGCCCCACATGGGATTCAGCCCTCAACCGGGCCATGTACCCTTGACTGGAACTTTCAGTCAGTCCAGAGGCCAAAGCTCTATCCACTGAGCCAAACCAGCTAGTGGATAGAGCTTTGCTTGCTTTTCTGTATGTTACTACCACTCAAGTATGTGCTCTTAAACAATGTAGTTTATAAAATTTCACAAATGGAATAACACTATGAATTTTGTTACTTGTTTCACTTGCTGAATATATTATCTACGTCCATGAGGAGTTTCCAGGTTGGGTTGTTCTACATACATCCTGGTGCCTATATGCAAAACAGCCTTAAAGGCATATGATTAAGAATAGAATTATTGGAAATCAGGTACACCTTTCTTAAATTCACTAGATATGCCTGTCTTAAGTTTACTAGATAATGCCAAATTATTTTTAAAACTCTTCTCAAAATTAACACTTCTATCAGCAATGTAGTCTTTCTGTAACTCCATCTCCATTCTAATGCTCAAATTTCTTCATTTTTGGCCAATCTGGTGGGTAGCTGATTGTATGCTGGGTTTATTTTATATCTATCACACTGATGATATTGAATACTTTTCTCGTGTTTATATACTATTTTGAGATTCTCTTTTGCAATGAGACTATTCAAGACTTGAGCCTATTTTTCTATTGACCTTTTGTAGGGTCAGGCCAGGATATGGCCAGTTCCCCCTCCTGTCCGAGGGGCACAGCAGCAGGAACGGAGTGTTTCCTACAACCTTGATAGCTAATAGGCGTCACCAGGCTGTTTGTCCTTGGTCTGCTTGCAGGCATTTCCCTTATCTAGGTTCTGCTAGATAAGCGCCTAGCCTAGTCTTGCCAAATCCAGAAACTCACCAGACCGGCTGCTAGGGGCTGCCGGAGGTCAGTAAGAAAGGCTATGTCTTTCCCTCTGGTCCCTCTGCAAGGTCACAGTTCAATCCCCAGTGGGGCTCGATCATCGATATTTCTATCTCCCTCTCCCTTCCTCTCTGAAAGCAATAAAAATACATTTTTAAAGTCAGGAAAAGTACAGAACCATATGATTTTGCTGATATGTCGGACATAGAACAGAAACTTGTGAACAGAAACAGCAGTGCGGTGGTTCCAGAGGGAAGGGGTGGGGGAAGACGTGGGTCCTATATACAGTGACGGGAGAAGATTCACTTTGGGTGGTGAGCACACAGTGTAACATACAGATCCTATAACACAGAACCCACCCCGGAAACCTATAGAACATGTTGACCAATGTCACACAATAAATTTAATTAAACATGTTTTGGTAGTGAAAAGATTTTATACACACACACACACACACACACATAACATACATACAGTGGCTAGAATCTTGTAACCAAGACAGGTTCACGAATGACTGAAAATTTGGAACTCTTCCTCAGGTAGTGCTTTACTGTATAGGCCATACTCACAAAGAAGCAACTACTGCCTAAACCAAAAAAACTTCTTACTCATCTCACTCCCAGGAACTGACATTATCTTAGGATCCTCCCTGTTATGTAATGTCAACACTCCTTGGTTTCATCATTAGAGCATTATTTCACTTGTCAGTACCAAAAAAAAGTGCTGGGCAATGCTGAACTTAATTATTATTCAGTATTAATAATTAACACAGTACAATCTAATGGTAGAAAACTATTTAATAAAAACGTCAGTAATAATTTTTTTAAAAACATGTGAGGTAGAAGCAATTGAGAGAAATTCGAGCTTTTCCCAAGAAGATGGATACACCAGGGTTAAAATTGGTCACCACACACATGATTAAGAACTTTGAGAATACCCCAAAACAAAGGGGCATATGAAATTAATAGGTGAAATAGGATCATACATTTTACATTTGTCATCAATTCAGCAAACAAAATTTCTAAAGAAGAATAGAATTATTTTCTTTTATATCAAAATCTACATTAGAATATTGAATACTAAAAACAACAAAATGGGAGAGCAAGACAGAATCAGAAACTACCGTAGTTTTCCATGTATAGGACCCAACTTTTTCTAAAATCGTTAGACTTTAGAGTGACCGCCTTCGGACTGAAGGGTCCCAGGTCCGATTCCAGTCAAGGGCACATGCCTGGGTTGCAGGCTCAATCCCCAGTAGGGGGTGTGCAGGAGGCAGCCAATCAATGATTCTCTCATCATTGATGTTTCTCCCTCTTCCTTCTTCTCTGAAATCAGTAAAAACAAAACAAAAACAAAACATGTCTGGCACCAGAAAGCAAAAGAAATGGAGGGAAAAACAGCAAAATGGCCTTTCAATCAGGGACCTCAAAATACCAGAAAACAAAACAAAACAAAAACCAGCCTGGCCTGTGTGGCTCAGTGGTTGAGAGTCGACCCAGAAACCAGGAGGTCATGGGTTTGATTCCCCCATCAAGGCACAGATTGCAGGCTCCATCCCCTGTAAGGGACGTGTAGGAGGCCGCCAACAATGTTTTTCTCTCTCATCAATGTTTCTATCCCTCTTCTCTCTCTATAAAAAGTAATGTATCTTTGATTTTTTTTTAAAGAATCAAAATTATAAATATAAAATTTCACCTATGTTCTAGTCACAAGATTGTGCTTAAATGAAAAAGAAATCAATTTTCTTTACCTATATTTTAAATAAACAAAATATAATAAAAATGTATAAAATCAAGTTAATCTTGAAATTTTAGGCATCATATCCCAAAAGAATCCACTTCTAAAGCAGGTGAACATTTAGCACATCCTTTTTTTTTTTTTTTTTTAATTTTTGTTGTTGTTGATTTCAGAGAGGGAGGGAGAGGAGAGGGAGAAGAGAGACAGAAACATCAATGATGACAATCATTGATGAGCTGCCTCTTACATGATCCTTACTGAGGATTGAGCCCACAACCTGAGCATGTGCCCTTGATGGGAATCAAACCTGGGACCCTCCAGTCCACAGGCTGAGGTTCTATCCACTAAGCCAAACCTGCTAGGGCAGCACATTCTTTGTAGGTCATACAAAAACACCTATATAGTATATAAATTCAGTTTTGAGTACACCTATACTGAAAAAATAAATAGTGCTAAATAAATAGGATGGTGATAAAACTTGGTTTAACAACATCATACAAAAATAAAACACACAAAAACCCTGGAACTTTGAACAAGGTACATTTACACCATTTTATACCCTTGGGATAAAAATTATCTCTATCACCTAACCAGGCACTGATTTTACAGCACGCCCAAATTATGAACAATAGGCAATTGCGAGAGATCACTATGCTAGTATGAAAAATGCAAGGGAAACAGTGCTTCATCTTCTTTGAAAATCACCCAATATGTGACAAAGACTTTCATGTTCTCCTGATGGAAGATCAATGATGTAAAATAAATTAAGGAAGATAAATTTAACACACTATATAATTATGCTAGAGGCCCGGCACACAAAATTCATGTGCGGGTATAGTCCCTAGGCCTGACCTGCAATCAGGGCCATCTTCCCCAGCTGCCGGCATCTGGTCCCGCCCCTCACCGTCACTCACCCCCGGTGCCCTGTTCTTCATCAGGTGATCAGAGTCTGCCAGCCATAGGAAGGGACTGAGAGGTTGGTCGGCAGGCCCCAATTAGGTGATTGGGGCCTGCAGGCTGGGGACAGTTCCTGTATTGAGCATCTGCCCCCTGGTGGTCAGTGTGCATCATAGCAACCGGTCATTCTACCGTTCGATTTGCACATTACCCTTTTATTATATAGGATAAAAAGATTTATAACTTTAATATTTTATAGTTAATTTACAGGACTGCTAATTACAAAGATTTTTATGGCATTCTATGGATAATAATTTACTTAAGCAATATGGTTTATGTATCTTAGCCTAACACAGTGGTCGGCAAACTGTGGCTCATGAGCCACATGCGGCTCTTTGGCCCCTTGAGTGTGGCCCTTCCACAAAATACCACGTATCCTAATTAAGTTAATAACAAGGTACCTATCTATATAGTTTAAGTTTAAAAATTTTGGCTCTCAAAAGAAATTTCAATCGTACTGTTGATATTTGGCTCTGTTGACTAATGAGTTTGCCGACCACTGGCCTACCATATTTTATATATTGTTATTCTTCTTCTTTTTTAATCCTCACCTGAGGATATTTTTTCCATTGGTTTTCAGACAGAGTGGAGGGGGGAGGGGAGAGAGAAGCATGGATGTGAGAGAAACACATCAATTGGCTGCCT